AATACAATATTAAATTACTTGTTATAACATGGACTACTGTACATCCACATTTATAGTGATGAAAAGACACGAGCTTAGGCTTAGGCTTATAAAAACAAAGGTATCCTCGAACGCCAGGAATACCCAATTTCTTTAGTCACTTTTTTTGGGTTCCTTTTTGTCTTGTTTTAGTTTTGAGACAGAGAGATGAAATATTAGCCTAGACAACGAAACCAAACAGCAAAATATGTCCCTCTGTCTTATCCATAATAAAGAAGATACTAATTAAAAAAATTAACAAAAAAACCCATGTCACTATGTCTATGTGCCTTGTTTTTGGTCTTTAATTAATTAATTAATTAATTATAAGATACAATGTAATTAGAGGATGATTTTTTAAACAAAAGAATCTAGCAACGTTGCCCCCCTTGACACAGAACAAACTGTCCATGTCAGTGGCAGGTTGAACAAGATATGGAGAGGCATCACTCCCATGTCACGTGATGTAGAGGCAAGGCCACGAGACAGTTGGACCATATAACACGCACGTGGCAGTACATGGGTGCCACCCACATTCGAACATTGGGTTTGCTGTCAAGCTGGTTTGGTCCAGTACCATCCCATTGATTAACCCAAATCAGAATTTGACAAGTGTATTGTTAATTTTATGAATTTCTAGTGAAACAAGTGGAAAGGTAACGTTAAGAAAGTAACAACCGAAAAGAAAAAGGTGGTTGAGTGATGACTTTAGAATCTGATTGTCGGAGAGAGGAGGTTGATTTGGTTATAATTATCACGTCTCAATTAACTTGTTTGAATATGATGGAATTACTATATTTTGCAACACACGTGGGGGAAGTAGGGTCAGTGGTAGTTGAATTAAGTAAGATATGATTTTGTCGTCTATGAATCTACAATTACCAACAGGCAGGCAGAGATCATCGTCATCATGCACCTCTGGCTCTGTACACTCTCAAATTCAAACCACTGTTGGTCCATCCTTAGCTAAATAGAAAATGATGTTTCGTCAAATGAAGATTTACCAGTGGAATCCAGCTGCATCTCTAACAAAGTAAAGAGTAAAGATGAGGTAATTTATCATCTTCAAACATCGCATTCATTTTGAAATTACAGCAGGTTTCCCATAACCTAAACTTGACTAATATGTCATATTGTTTTAGTTGTTGATTTTTATGGATGAGAACAGTTGTATTTCATGGAACAAGACTACAACATCTCAACTACAATCTCCTTCTCCTTCCTGCTTCAAAAGTTAAGGAAATATTGAAAAACATGGAGATAAGCATCCAACCAAACAATCTCAATACTATACACTTGTACTTTCATCTAAGGAACAAGGGCCGGGTAAAATGGGTCCAGGCCCAGGAAGGAATCCACTACCATTAGGGTGAGGAAAAGCCCAAAGAGAATAAATAAAAGTGCAATGAACATGAGAATTGTAGCAAACATTTTCTCTCTAACCAATTTTGCGACTAAAGGGGCTGATAGACAGATTCATAGGGCCTTAAATAACAAAAATCATTGACACTATAAGCCTACAAAGAAAATTTTGTTTCACCATTGTATTGACAATGTAATTCTCAACTTCTTCGACTTACCTCTGATGAAGTGGATTTAGATACCTTAATTTCTCAAATTTCAGACTAAAGTTTTTTCTTTTTTAATCACAAATCACTCTATATGGTTTGTCATTGGATATCTTTATTATTTTCTTTCTTTTTAAAAACAACACTTACTAAAATTAAGTTATAGATTGAAGGGTGGTTTGTCGTCTGTCTGCACTCTGCTGTCAAACAGTAAAATTTCTGATCCGACTGTATTTGAGCAAATCTTAGTGGGGGGTTTATGAAATTGTTCGAGATAATTTATAAATAAACCCAGTCATTTCATATCGTTTAAATTGATCAAACTTGTTTTATCTGTCTCCAAACTTGACGTTAAAACTATATACAAAGCACATCTTTATTTTTAATTTCTCTAGATAGTATAATCGAACTGTAATATAAAAAGCTGCAAAAGAACGGATGCTATATGAAAATTTATAGTGTAGGTTGAAGCTGAAGTGAAGAAGCACCATTTACCGACTTTTCTTTTCATGTAATAAAATTTGGGAGGCAAGGCTAGGTGGGGGGGCTCCGCCATCTCCTTTTACTTTAAAGCTGTGTTCAATATACTTCATATAAAACCTTCAAATGCAATTAGAAAAAGATTGAACCATTGGAATTTAATTCTCTCTCTCTCTCTCTCTCTCTCTCTCTCTCTATCTATCTATATATAATGTACAGTTGAATAATGTAACATTATAAAAGCTCTAATCCACAAATGGGAAACAATAATAGAATTAATGTCAATTCAAAGTGACAGATTTCAGAAGATTGCCCATCAATAATACTCATCATAATCACAATTATTGACCGAAATATTAAGAAAGAGAACAAAAAGACAACTTTACAAAAATAAGAAAAAATTACTTTGGAACAAAGCTTTAAGATGTGTTTACAAGAAGAAATTAACGTGATCAATACTGGGTAAAGTAAGTAGATTGAATGGTTGGTTTGATGAAGAAACAGTGAGTTGGTTCATGTGATAATATGGGGGAGAAAAAGGAGAAACTTATAATGTGAAAGTAAAGGAATCGTGATCTAAAGTACTACAACATGCCAGCTTAAAAGTGATTCATATCTAATTTTTCTGTAGCTAGATACCTTCGTAATGCGTGCATTTCATATATAGTTTTCTGCAACCACATCACTATCCTTATCCCTATTCCAATTCAATTATTAATGCTAATTAATTTTGGGGTTGGTGGGTGTTTTTCATATTCCATGCATGAAATGCATCGAGAATATATATCAGAATTTGATGTTTGATTGGTGTTTTTCTAAATAATTCTTTAGTAAATTAATTAAAAAAAAAAAAAAAAAAAAAGTAGTTTGTAAAGGTGGGATGTGATGTGAAATGTGATATTGAAAGCAGCTTTAATCTTCTGTAAAAGGAAAATATTGGAGCATGAATATTTGATATTGAGGGGATGAGTATGAATTGTAGTCCACAAAGGGTTTGTCTTTTTCTACGTCTACTTAGCTGTTCATTCATTTGGTTGGTTTCTTTTACTGAAGCAGAAAAAGGACATGAATGAACTGTTGGACAACTTTACATTGTGATTATGACTGGAAAAGCAAATTATTCTCCTACAGAATAATATGCAACACAAGTCCTTCCAAACTAGTCTCAGTCTCCACCATTTTAGTAATTATTCTACTTCTTCAAACCAAGTTCAATGATTCTTGTTCCTAACATAATCCTGTTCCATTCACTTTTAAGTTTCATCGGGAGACACAGTATACATAAGAAAGATAAAAGATTGATTAGGATGAGACTCCATTCACGTGATTCATGTTGTAAAATTACAACTGCTAATAAAAGTGTCTTTAGCAATTAGCATAAAGATATGATAATTAAACCTTGGATTATGGAAGTCACAACTGACAAGAACAAGATGATGATGATAATGTGGCATGGAAATGGCAATACAAAACCCAAAGTCCAATGATAGGATATATGATTGTGTTTTGGCGGCCATCATCATGAAACACAGACAAACTTCTGCAAAAGGAGAAATTATAAACTGAAAAGCAAATGACTGGTGGTGGGTAGGGAAGGGAATCGGATCATTAATTCATTATATCCGAACAAAAACGATACTGAATATCTGAAAAAGTTAAGTCTCGTTATCAGTAGACTAGAATTAATACTCAGTCCCTAGCCGGACCTTCAAAATCTATATACAGGAGATTACATAAATTTAAAACTATAGATATAAGATATGCAAATCCGTTGTGGTGGTAGACTGGTAGTACTAAAAAAGCTGCACCATTTATATTATCATATATAAGAGTGTGTATGTATACAATTTTGAGATAGAAAGATAGTGCCTTTTGATTCTGATTTGATACCATTACGTCGATCCACAACAAAATAATTTGGTCAGTCAAGCGGAAAGCCCTTCTGAACCTAACCAAAAATACTGGATTTCAATGCTTGTTTGCATTCCATCTTTGTTATTTGCGGCAACTGTTTCAATAATCAATAATTGAGTATCACAGTTTGTATATATCTTCTGTCTCCCTCCACCTGCACACATCCTATTAACTTACATTTTTAACTCTCGTTAATAAGAGTTATCTTCTATATTATGAATAAAAATTACCATTTCATATATCCTGCACAATTGAGAGTAACTTCCACTGAAGATTATAATAAAAACCACTAGCCAAAGGAATTCAAGTCTCCTATCACTTAAATCATAAAAACATTCTGGACTTTAGTACTGTTTAAATTCATGAATGCAATGGAATTTAAAAGAATTTTTTATACTGCTTTTTTTTTGGGGGGGTCAAAAAAGTTATTGCAATATATATATATTAGTGCAAAAAGACAAATTAAAAAGATTAAAAGTTTGAAGCAAACCACATATGAAAACGTGACACTCATGCAAAAGCAGCTTGGAACTCAGTGCCAATTCGCCATTGATTGAGGGTATACTCGTGCGTGTCGAAAAGCCACCACTGATGAGTGCCACGGCCGGCCCACGATCCACTTCATATCAAATTCTTTCATAGATTATGCCTTCTGTAGAGTCTAGCTAGACGTTTGAAATCCTATATACTTACTGTTTGATGGACCATGAATCCAGGAACATGAGAATTAAGACGAGTTGTTAGCAAGCTAGAAAATATTATGGAAGTGGAGCCCAGATTTTGCTTTGCTTTTAAAGTGGGGTAAAGCTAAAGTTGAAGCAAAACGGTGCCCTCACATCAAATATCCTTTTCACCGAATTAATGGTTTAATTGTTTAATCGTGCTTCGTACTCATGCACGAGTTGAGTTCCTGTCCTGCAACTCTACAATTCTCTTTCCTATATAACCCACTCTCACGTAACTCTCTCTCCACATCCAATTGAATTCTTGTGTAACTGAAAAAAAGTAGAAACACTCATACAAACCTAATGGAAAATAAACAAGTGAAGAAACAGCCTAAAAGAGGTTTGTGGAAACCAGAGGAGGACTTGCTTCTCAAAAATTATGTGGAGACACATGGTGAGGGCAACTGGGCGGCTGTATCCGAGAAATCAGGTAAATGTAGTAATATGTATCATATATATATATATGTGTGTGTGTGTGTGTGTGTGTGTGTGTGTGAGGTTCTTAGTTGTAATGACATAAAGATTAGATATACATACGCTTGCATTAGCGTCGTTTTGTTGTTAAGTTGTGTCTTGTCTGTGTCTACGATCTTAAGGTTTGATGAGAGGAGGGAAGAGTTGCAGACTAAGATGGAAGAATTACTTGAGACCAAACATAAAACGTGGTGGGATGTCAAAAGAGGAAGAAGACCTTATCATTCGAATGCACAAACTAATTGGTAACAGGTTTGTACTTCCATTAATAATTACATTACTTTGCTTGCAAAAAGCTTCTCCATAGTAATATATATACATCTTCGATCTGTTTGTGAAAGATTTTATCTTGGCGTTCAATTTCGTATTCTTTTCTTAAATATATATAGATGGTCACTGATAGCGGGTCGACTTCCTGGTCGAACGGATAATGAAGTGAAAAACTACTGGAATACGCATTTGAAAAAGAAATGCCGTCTCGGCAAAAGAAAAGCCATTGAGTTAAGCTGCCATCAAATTGGGATTGACAACAATAACAACAACAACAACAAGAAATTGCCTCAACTGTGTGATTCTCAACAGAAAGATATTGCTCAAGGAATATCGGAAGAAGAGAGTAATAATTTGACTGACACAACTACAGGAAGCCTTAACTACGACACAGAATTATGTGGGGTGATGATACCTCCCAATAATGGAGCGTTTGTCTTTGATGATGAGCCTTTCATTACCTACTTGGATTCCTTTGTTCTGTTTGAGTGCATGGGTAGTGAGGACACATACTCACAATCGCAGATGGGAATGGGTATGCAATCAATCATGCCTTAGTATATGTGATGTGAACCTTTCATTATGGACCCTCCCCTTCCTTTCAGTGGTAGGGGCCGCTGAGTTTTCCAAGGTTTGCAGTAGCATGTGTTGCTTTTTTCCTTCACCGACACAGTTGAGGTTGCATTATGATATATTGTTAATAACGTTTATTACATACTTGTGTAAACAAGTGCTTATCCCACACCCATTACACTTGTCAATCAATCTTTCTCCCTCTCTTTCTTTTTCTCTCTTAGATATGTATTGTATTGTATGTAACGTGATGAATTATACTTCTATATTTCAATGAAAATTGGGTCCAACACTCTTACACATCCATATCATTATGAAAAGTGGTAAGAGAATGCATCTACTACCCTCGTTACAAAGTAATAAAGAAGGAAAAGACAACCCGTCACGACAATTACCAGCTCATTGTAGTCCATCTGCGGAAACGACAACCCACTTTCCAGAGGAATGCGGGAACCTTAGAAATTCAATGGAAAAGTCTTGGCTGCTATTCGAAAACTTGGTTCATTCTAGCCCATCTGCATCGATCAACAAAACTCCTCCATCTTCCAAACGAAGTAGAACGAGTAAAATAGAGTACAACTAGGACAGGAAGGTTTAAATGGTCATAATTGCNCAAGGAATATCGGAAGAAGAGAGTAATAATTTGACTGACACAACTACAGGAAGCCTTAACTACGACACAGAATTATGTGGGGTGATGATACCTCCCAATAATGGAACGTTTGTCTTTGATGATGAGCCTTTCATTACCTACTTGGATTCCTTTGTTCTGTTTGAGTGCATGGGTAGTGAGGACACATACTCACAATCGCAGATGGGAATGGGTATGCAATCAATCATGCCTTAGTACATGTGATGTGAACCTTTCATTATGGACCCTCCCCTTCCTTTCAGTGGTAGGGGCCGCTGAGTTTTCCAAGGTTTGCAGTAGCATGTGTTGCTTTTTTCCTTCACCGACACAGTTGAGGTTGCATTATGATATATTGTTAATAACGTTTATTACATACTTGTGTAAACAAGTGCTTATCCCACACCCATTACACTTGTCAATCAATCTTTCTCCCTCTCTTTCTTTTTCTCTCTTAGATATGTATTGTATTGTATGTAACGTGATGAATTATACTTCTATATTTCAATGAAAATTGGGTCCAACACTCTTACACATCCATATCATTATGAAAAGTGGTAAGAGAATGCATGTACTACCCTCGTTAGAAAGTAATAAAGAAGGAAAAGACAACCCGTCACGACAATTACCAGCTCATTGTAGTCCATCTGCGGAAACGACAACCCACTTTCCAGAGGAATGCGGGAACCTTAGAAATTCAATGGAAAGTCTTGGCTGCTAATGCTATTCGAAAACTTGGTTCATTCTAGCCCATCTGCGTCGATAAACAAAACTCCTCCATCCTCCAAACAAAGTAGAGCGTGTAAAATAGAGTACAACTAGGATAGGAAGGTTTAAATGGTCATAATTGCAAAGTAAACATATTATTTGGTCTTCGGTAAACAAATGATAACATGAAAAATAAGATGGATTGGTCAAAAGGTTTACTCCTTTCCTTGAATTTCTGAGTTCAAACATCACATTCACATATCAAAATAACATTATAACTTATTTAATCTTTTAAGTTTGTAGGATGTTCAATGAATTTAGGAGATTAATTGAAAAAATAACATTATAGCTTATTTGATCTTTTAAGTTTGTAAAATGTTCAATAGATTTAGGAGATTAATTGAAAAACGCACAAACTGACCCAAAGACACCTGGTTACCAAAACAAAAAAAAAGCAGATATCTAAACCTAAGAGATTGTTTGTCCTCTTGTTGGGGATATCCAAGTATGCTTCAAACACCTGCTATATATACAGTCGGACAAGAGAACAAGCTTAACCCAAAAACTTAAGAAGAATCATCAAACAATGGAATCCATCAACCTACGATGACAATTCTTTCAACTGAGTACCCGTAGACTTACTTCATAAATGAAAAGATTTTGAGGTATTACAGAAGCTCATTACAGAAAGCAGCAAATGTCTCCATAGAAAATTGAGAATATGAAAGCTGATAAATCCTTTCCAGGACAGGGTTCATATTTACAATACGTCATCATCTTGCTGAGAATATAACAAACCATTGTCAACTGGCAGTGAAGGTGGAGTTCCAGGAGGGATGCAAGCAGCACCATTCTCACCAGCACAAATACACAATGCCTCAGCATCTCTTAGAATTGCATCAAGATCAATCCGACCACTCAGCTCGTTAATGAATTTCAAGAGTGTGTCAAAATCCATTTGCTCCCCCATTATTTTGTTCCGGTACCGTTTCAAGATTGCAACACATACATATAAATGCAGGTGCTCAGACAAATAATGTGTCCATAGTACCTCCCATAAACGCATTGTTTTCTCGTATTCAAATTCTCTGAGAAACATAATCAAATCATATCAGGTTGACCTAGGTCATCTTATCTATCACACACGTATCTACATTATCTAAGAAATATATTGAAAATTAAACCAAAAAAAAATTGAAAATCTGAAAGGATCATGATAAGCTAATTAAAGACAGGTCCTGCAAACTAGAACAAGGTAAAAAGCTACGGGAAGTGGTCAGACACGCATAAATGCATGCACATACAACCCAATGTGAAATTTCAGACAATTCATCCTATTTCNGTTTCAAGATTGCAACACATACATATAAATGCAGGTGCTCAGACAAATAATGTGTCCATAGTACCTCCCATAAACGCATTGTTTTCTCGTATTCAAATTCTCTGAGAAACATAATCAAATCATATCAGGTTGACCTAGGTCATCTTATCTATCACACACGTATCTACATTATCTAAGAAATATATTGAAAATTAAACCAAAAAAAAATTGAAAATCTGAAAGGATCATGATAAGCTAATTAAAGACAGGTCCTGCAAACTAGAACAAGGTAAAAAGCTACGGGAAGTGGTCAGACACGCATAAATGCATGCACATACAACCCAATGTGAAATTTCAGACAATTCATCCTATTTCTTTTCCCTTCCTTTATCCAACACAGTAATTCTAATAAATGATCAGAACCAAGGAAACTTAATTACATTAATCTAGGACCTTTGCACCAGAATTATCCTGTACTACATGGAACATACACAGATACACTATAAATTTGTTGAAAAGAAAAATGTTACTTAAGAGCACTGCAAAATCAAAGGACAAAAGCACTCAAAAAGAAAACCAGTTAGTTCAGGTATCTGACCTTTTAAATTGTATTAGAACCCAGCGAAAACAAAAGAAATAATTCAGGCACTCATTCTGCTTGAAATAATTATGCAATGGGCTGTCTAGCAACTCCACCAGCTGCAACAACAAAAGTGAATAAAAACTGGGAGCTTAATATGCCAATTCACAAATTGAACAGGCCATTAACAAATAATAAATAAACCACCAACAGTTAATGATTAAATACCATTTACACATTAGTGATACTACAACTTGATTTTTTTAACATGAAAGTTATTGTCAAAAAATAAGAAGTAAACTAACATGAAATTTGCAGAAAGTAACATCATCATGATCTCAGCAAGATATCAAGGCCAGAAGAGTAGTATTCACCCTATGTAGAAGCATGAAGGTACATCTTTTGTGAAGCTTGAAGAACTTCATTTACCATCTTAAACAATTTTCTATGTTTAGAGCCTTTGTCTTTAACAGATTTTCATTGTAAGCAATTGAGTCTTACAAAAACCAAGAATGATTTCACCATTTAACTTCTGAAAAAATTCCAGCTAAACGAGCAGGTGACATGCAATTATACATAGATTCAATTTTTAAAATCTGATTAATTCCTTAACCGAGAGGCTACAATTAATAAAAGGCAGACATTGAAGAGGCTGAAGATTTGGCTGCAAATGGCACTGTCAAAATAGAAACCTATGACATTTTAAAACACACACACACACACACACAAAAAAAATATCATGTTGAAATTGGAAAAGGAAATTAAACTAAAATAATGAAAGAGATTAAGTGCACATTTCTATTACTAAAGCATGATATTCAAGTCATCTGAGAGATGAAGAAAAAACCTTAGACAATGCAAAAAGTTGAGTGTGCATTCCATTTTGGTCACGATTAAAATTGGGTCCAAGACGTTCCATCAGTGCCACAAACAACCAAAATGATTCTGACTCATCTTCCATTACAAACAAAATGGGGGAAAGAAGATCACTCATACCCTGTAAGACAAATAAACAACAATTATAACATGCAATCATGAATAGAACAGTATCCAAACCACAAAACAAGCAGGACAAAAGACCTATCATAACAAGCAATACGATAACTAATAGTTCACACAGCCAAACCAAACATAAACACAAAGCCATAAGACAACTTTAACGTAACCGTTTATGAAATTAATAATCATAGCACCATGCCTTTGTATCATCACATCACAGAGAGACTAGGTACATTGGAAGGTAGCGCTGAATATTTAATCCGAAAATTCAGCCCTCTTTCACATATCTATACATGGATTTCAATGCAACATGTGAACATAAGGATGCTTCACATGACCTGTTTTCTTACAATAAAATATTTTTCAAATGGCAAGCAAAAAGTTTCCTACATGTCTTCAAAATGTGTACATGCCACCATCAGAATCAATTACTTGTTTATAAGCATATATTGCTTCATTTTTCTAAAATACTTCTAAATCAATCTTCTTTAAATAATGTTAGCTTAATGACTCTGCATAATTATAAATTCAGAATTTCCATTGAACTGGCAGCAAAGACAAGAAAAACCACTACATGAAATAAGTAATTACCTGACAGTAACCAAGATCAAAGTTGTAGAAGGAGTACGTCAACAGAATATCACGTAGAATATTCACATTTGGATTATCATCCCCATCATAGAAAGGGAGTGACCTATCTGTCCTTACCTAGAAACAAATGAAAACACAATCAATAGCATGTAAAAATTCCTTTACAAAGTCATTATACCAAGGTTTCGAAAAAGTTGCGCTAGTTTCACACATACCACATCTTTATCAATAAGTCCTTTTCTCTCCCTGAATTTTGTAAATCTTTTTGCCTGTTCAGTTGAGATGCTCTGCAGAAGAAAATTTATACATGCATATGTTAAGCCTTGAAGAAAAGATATCCTAGAAACCATGATGATAAAAGCACAGAGCCATTGGGCAGATGTCTCTAGTCAAGTGAAAAAGGAATTCAATCTGCAAACGGAGAGCAATCGAGACCATGCTCGGTTTTTTAACAGAATAAGGCCCCAGTCAAATTTATTAAACTAAATTTGATCATGGTCAACTAACATTAACATTCTAGTCAGGAAAAGAACTAACTGCAAGACAATTGACTAATTTTATAAATATTAAAAACAAAAAAGTTCAACTTACTGGGTTTATGAATACACACAGGCATGCACAAAAGAAAAAGTTAGTGGCCTGAACAAGATCATTTAATAACTAAAACTAAAAGGTTAGGCAACATGAATCAAATTACTTTTTTAGAGAAAAGCCATACTGTTGGAGAGACTGCAAGGTCTTTTTACCATATTTTGTAGGTATTTAACCCTAGTGTTAGGATATGTGTTATGGAATGCATGCAGCGAAATTCTTGTGCTTGCAGACACTACTATGCAAATATGCAATGGGGTTCAAGCTTGACAATATGCAATTAAATTCTAAATCAAGTATAGAAGATAACTTAAATAATTAATACAAGTATATGAGATGAAATCTTTTTATTGACTCTTTTTGAGCTACCAAGCTTCACTCTAAACCGCTCAAGTTTGAGCACATAAGTTATTAAGCCTTGCGTAAAGTTCAAGCTACTATTTCTTTGCTGACAAATCATGGTAAACCTCCAAGCTTCTTATCACGAAGTTTGAAGAATATGATAAACTCAGCTCATTTGTAACCTATACAAAAGCCTCATAAGTTGAGCCTCAAAACAATTTTTTTACCTTAAAAGCAATGCATCACTTTCTCTCTCTCCAACAATGCATTTATGATAATTAGATACAAGGTAAAAACATGGCTAACTATATAGATAAGCTCCAAAGTTACACACATAATCAGCAATGATAGAGTAATTGATGAATGAAATTATGTTAAACAACTATATGAGAACAAAGCGAGACAATCTGAAGTTGATGCTGATGCAAGGGGGAGATCTAGAAACACAACAGCAGACAAAAACATGCCAGCATTAGGAAGTACTGAAGGATGGAGAAATCCACAACAAAATAACAAAAATATTTACAGCAAACCTGCCACTGGTGTTTTATGGTCTCATACTCTGACTTTTTAATGGACCTAAAATACTCCCTCTCAGCATATGTTGAATCATATGCATGGTATCCCAGTAAAAATGCCCAGAGCTACATGTAAAACCAAGAGCTTTCATGAACAAGAAGCATGTCTAACCAAATAAATAATACTTCTACAGTTTTCCTTGCATACTGCAAATACAAACCTCTCTGCGTAATTTGTGCTCAATTCCTCCATAGAAAATTCTCTTTCTTAAAGCTTTTGAATCCATAACTCGACCTTCGTTGTCCAAAAAGGTTGCCCACTGCACATATTCATCGTAGCAGCAATCATGTGTATATAAATATCCAAAAATACAAGTCCTTGAAAGAAGGCATATAAGACAAAGCCACTGCAAAAATTTATTTGTTGGGAAGCTGCCGTGCTTTAAGGGGAAATATACATTATGTTATCAGTTCTATTTTATCTGGGTGAAACCGTCAAATAACTCCAGCTCTGTTGTGCAAACTTCCGTTTTCACGTATAGTGAACTTTTCATGTCCAAATACAATTTTGATCAAATAATTTTAGTTTTCTCATTATATTATACTAATGGATTTCTGAATCTTAAACCCAATGATAAGAAATTGAGCCAAGTAAATTGAGAAAATTTTACACCAGATCTAATTTGATCTTGTCCCATATAGACCATAATTTAGACATCCATAAAACAAAACAAATAAAAAGAAGTTTGGAACTGTTTCAGGAAACAAGTTCAATTAAAACAAAAAAGCACTGGGAGTCAAAATCCTTCTGAAAGATAAAAGAGTATATGACCAAGAAAGACTTAAAATTTAATAGGTCTACCATCTAGAATTAAAAACTGGATGAAAGACTTATTTGAAAAAAAAAGATAGCCCTTACCTCTTCAGGCCCCAAGGGTGGCTGTCGGGGTTTTCCCCACACTAGTGTTTGTTTATCCAACTGCAGAAAACAATAAATGTGTATTAATTTAATGTTGACTGTTATGAAAAATAAATAAAGACACAAATGTCAAATAAATGAACCGGCCTGTGTGATGTATAGTCTGGAGTTGGTATAGTTTCAAGGATTCCAGAAAAGATGACAAAGCACAGCTTCAATTGGCCATATGAAGCATTATGAAAAATAAATAAAGACACAAATGTCAAATAAATGAACCGTAGTTTCAAGGATTCGAGAAAAGATGACAAAGCACAGCTTCAATTGGCCATATGAAGCATTCAAAACATCTTAGGTAATGACCTTCCAGAAAAAATCAATTGAAAGTTTGACCTTTACTGTAACTGATACACACACTTAGGAGTCAAAAAACGTAATATCATGGCAAAGATGCAATTATGTCAATCCAAAACACTGAAAAAAAGAATTCAGGAAGTAACAGTCATCAAAGATCATTAACACTTTGTTATTCCAACTAAATATGTGAAGGACTATAACAATGGTATGTTACATGCTCTAGTATATTAATCGAAAGTTTGACATTTATTTGACTGATGCACACGTTTAGGAGTCAAAAAACATAATATCATGGCAAAGATGCAATAATGTCAATCCAAAACGCTAAAAGCAAAGAATTCAGGAGGTAACAGTCAACCAAGATCATTAACACTTCATTATTCCAACTATATGTGTGAAGGATCTAGACCGATGGTATGTTACACTTGCTCTAGTACATAATACAGCATTCATATGTTATAGAACACAGCAATCTTTGGTCAATACCTTTGTGATTACGCAAACATGTTGTATAGATTGTATAAGAACAATTTACACTCATAGATCCACGCAAACTACTAACCAAAATACTATTGGGTCATCTCCCACTGCATATGTAGTATAAACTGGTCATACTTCAGAAAGAGTGCAAGAAACAAACTCATAAACTACAATGAAACATAAAGCTCCTGTCTATACTTCCTTACAATTGATTAGCTCAAAAGTTTGCACATTGGTGGCAACTTCTTCATCATGATTGTGTTTCCTAGGTGGAATTTTCTGTTTAAAAGGATAGAGGTCTGCATCAGATGGCCTCGGGAAAAAAAAAAATTAATCTTTTTATTTTCCAACTATAGCAGCATAACTAGCCTGATTTTAAGCCAAGAGGATAATGCTCTGAACCAAACTTCAACGTATTAAATAATTTTTAAGCCTAAAGTAATATGGCACAAGTGGAGGACACAAGGTTAAAGACCCACAGAAGTTTCTAGAAATTATCTGGTATCCAAAAAGACTATCTTTAGCTCTGCTTCCTGTTTTGGATTCATATTTGTTCAACAGCTGACCGGATGCTTCTTATGTTGATTGCATGTAGAAAGATAAAAACAATTCTAGTATGTCCAAAAATGCCTGATGCATAACATGCATGCTAATTTATTAAACAGTTAACATAAAACATGCTTGGTTCAGAACAGTAATGTAATTCCCACTGCACTAGTAAAGCTGTTTGCCCAAAGACCAAATCCACCTAACCACTAAATAGACCACCAACATCCAATCAACATAAACAACTGAAAATCATTGCAGTGACCTGTCTGTTGATAACAATGATGGATATAATAACCTATTATGGTCAATAATCAACGGTATGACGCAACTAAATTAAAATTTACAAACAATAATATTGAATTACAACCCAGTGATTAATAGTACATCACACTTTCAAACCCTACACAAGTATGTATTATTGTTTACTAGTAGCATACATCAAGACAGTTAATCTTATTGAAAGAGTCACAACTTAAACTGAGATTCTAATAGCTTACAAAATCACCAAAAAAGTAAATCATTACCTCGAGAGGATCTGAGGCTACTGGAATTTCGCCACAAACATTCTCTGCATCACTATCTTTCAATGTGTCATAGGATGCTTCGTGATGGTGATTTTCGACAGACTGGTTGTCAAATTTCCTCTCAAAAGGACCAAAACCATTACTATGATTTTCACGAAATAGTTGAGTTGTTTCCCGGGCAAATTTGGTCACCAGAGAGAATTTTTCCAATACCTGAATTGAGATGTCTCGAGCAGGATCATGACCCTTTTGCCTCTGTCTCCCATTGTACCGAGAAATACTGGAACTCACCGGGCCAACTGCCCCATAGGTCCTATCTTGGTTTTCATTTAAAAGAGAGTCGCCAACTGAAACAGGTGTTGATGGCCCACTTGCTACAGTAACCACCCCAGGCAGCTCCAAAGAAGATAAAGTTTTCTGTTGCAAGTGATTAAAACATTCAAAGTTAATCGTACCAAGCAAAACAGGAAACAACATCAATCAAATAAATTATGTACGTTCTGAATATCTAGATCAATCTTCACCAAATAAATCATGTCACTTGAATATCAACACTAAGGGAATATGCCCAGAAACAGGTAATTTAAATTTTTAGTTTCTGATTTTTTTTTTTTTTCAAAGTCTACATAAGATATATCGTGGAAGTAAGTGACCCAGTAGGTGCAAGTTTTACACCAAACTTGATCCAGGAAAATATTCGATAAAAGCTAGATTTTCGCTATTGAAGTCACACCCTTGGTTCCCCTCCAAGTAACAAATTTTCAACTCCAAATGCAGGAAATGCTGCTACAGAGAAATATATTTGACCAATAAATGGAAGAAGCGTTATTGATCCTCAACCAAAGTAAACCAGTGTGATACATACCTGCAGAGGACTTTGAAAATCATTGACAAGAAATACATTTGCATCTTCTGCTGACCTGAAATATTATGTGAAACAAGAAAGTTGCAAGAATGGCATCATGGGCCTAAGATAAATAAGGTTACAAAAGTTAAAACCCTCGGTACTGCTAAGAGAAGTTGAGAAATAAACAATTACCGACCTCACAAGAACAACATGTTGCTTTGCAGTAGTAAGGAACTCTCTAACTCCGCCATTGTAAAAGTAAAGTGGAGGATAAGCAAGGCCTGCAACAAGATTTCCCGTTTAGATCATGTAAATAAATACATAACAAGGAATATTGCACATCACAATTTTGAAAAAAAATAATTAACTCCAAATATAAGCGCACAAGCAGCAATTAATAAACACCATAAAAAATTCAAATGTCTCATAAAAAAATTTCTGGTTAATCCAAATTGACTACCTGATGATAAAACAACAATTATGTATTGCCACCCAATAGCTGGAGTGTGTCTGCGAATGGACCGCACATCCGTAAAAGGCACCGCCCTTATGGTATACAAATTCCTATCTACATAAGGAACAAAAAAAAGACACATGACAATAATTCAGCATTTCTAAACAGTTACACCTCCAGTATTCCATATAACCATAGCAAGTCCAAAGCTAAAAACCTCTCTCAGATAACTTCGCGTTTGAGTTTTGTCCTTTGTACGGAATCCAGGTCTATTATCACAGCCAACAAAACAGAGTTATAGAAATACTGTATAGAAAATGATAATAGATACAGAAAAAAAAATACAGCTAATAGATATCGGAATTTTCTAAAAAGAAAATGATAATAGATACAAAAAGAATGGATAATTAAAATTAATGTTTACCATAAAGAGAGAGGAGCCTTGTTTAATTAGCTTCAATCTTCCGCTAATTCTTTCAGATGCAAACTGAGTGGGGTGAATTGTAACATTATCTTTCAAATAAACCACTTCGGCACCGTCGGTTTCGCTGGACGAGCTAGTCTTGCTGCTGTCGCTCCTCATTATGCTTGATGATCCCTAATTTAAAAAAAAAAAAAAAAAAAAAAAAAAAAAAAACCCTAAATTAGTTTGACGGAATCTCCATTAACATCGTAAGTGAATTCAATCCGATTGAAATAAGCAAAAATACGAGAAATCATCATTGAATGCATGTAAACGTAAATGTAAATTGCTTACTTGCTGCATAGAAGCGGCATAATCAGCATCGTCGGATAAATCGTGAAGCTCCGTTTCTTGCATGAGTAGGGATTGGCGGAGATATGAAATTACAATAATGATTTGTGAGAGGCAGTTGAGATATAAAATAGCGATTCGATTTACTTCTAGACGAAGAAAAGAAATGTCATACTGAGGGGTATAAGAGAGAGTAGGGACTAGACTCTAGAGAGGGAAGGCGTGGGAGTCCAGCGATACGGTCACTTTCGGGGATATGTTAGTTTTTCTTTCTTTTATAATTGCCATTCAGTTATTACTTATCCTCATTAATAATAATTTAATTAAAAAATTATGGTAAGAATAATATATATGTAAATTGCGTGACTATGTAAACGTAGAGGACTAAAGTGTTGAATTTATTCTTTCTTTATAATAATATACCATCTAAATTTTGACCTCTTACCTTTAATAAAAAATAAAAATCCGCTTATATTTAGTTTTTTATAAAACATTTAGGTAAAATTTTATATCCCAGATTTAATGTTTCACGATATCTTTACCTAATGTGTTATAAGTTGTGTATTCAATTCAATTAACTTAATGATTAAGATAAAAAGAAACAACTGGAAGTTTCTGCCCCAATAGTCCAATATAAATCAAATTTTAAATGTTGAATTAAGAGAAGTTTACCAATTAACAAAAAAAAAAAAAAAATTGTTAGAATCAAAGATTAAGAATAAAACTCATACAACTCAAGTACTGATTGAAGTGACAGACCTCTCTTACTATCACGTTAGTTCTCCCAAAAAACAAAAACAAAAAAAATCAAAATTTCAATTGTTAGTACTTGAATTAGTACAATTTAGTTAGTGCACATAACATTACTTAAAGATTAACAATAACATAACGGTAAAATACAAATTAAAGGGTACTAACGCAAGTAACCAATGAATATTATTATTGATATTTGAAACAAAATAAGAAATTAGAAAAAAAAATAAAAAAAAATGAAAAATAGAAGGCCAATGCTAGGTGTTGTGTGTGATTTTACCATCAAACTCGGTGAGTGGCGAGGTATTAAATCAACCCAGGATCAGTCCGACTCTACCTATTGTCCGACCCAGTATAAGCTCGTTGACATATAGCTTGACCCAGCACAAGCTAGTCGTGAACAATCCAAATGATCATTCAACCGATTCCCAGATAACTTTAGATAGCAGATATTACGGGAATGATCAGATTAACAACAATCTATACACCTGATCGCGAGAATATGAGAGTTGCATTTCAAATCAATTGTAATCCCTTTTATTTTCGCTCTTTTCTTTGTACAAACATTATATATAAACCCCTTCAAATGATGAAAATGAGGTTATAATTTTTCCATATAACTCTTATTGTAAGCTTCACAGCAAATACAAAAACAATGGACTTAGGCTTAAGAGTTTACCTCGCCGAACTACTTTAAAAATCTAATTGTCATTTATTTTATTGTAAGTTCTCACAACAAATACAAGAACAGTGGACGTAGGCTTAAGAGTTTACCTCGCCAAACCACTTTAAAAATCTCATTGTCATTTACTTTATTGTATTATTATTCATCCATCGCTGATTATTCGTGATCATGCCCACATCTATTCCGATTCCACTAAAGTCAATCGAATCTCTCTGGTTGATGCGAATTTTTGTATCAGCACTAGGCCCTGTCTGGAATGGCCAATTGTTCTATTATTATATATATTTTTTTTTTATTCATTATTTGTTTGACATTTTTATGTTGATTTTGGTTTTTGTTAATTACGCAGATAAATGATAAATGATAAATGATGTAAGTCTCACTTATTGGCCCAATTATAAAACAACCAAAATAGTTTCAACCACTAAAAGAGTAAAAAGATTTAATATGGGTTCTTGAGTTTAGTTATTTTAAACCCCTAATAGGGGTAGTTATTGAGAAAATTTATCCGACTGTTTATTTCAGGTTCCAGAGATAATTGAGGTAAAAAGAAAATTTAGGTCCTAAAAATTAGTTGAGGTATTAAAAAAATAAAAAAAAATAAAAATTGTAGTTTCTAAGAACAAATTAAGTACAAAGTGTGCGTTAAAACGTGAAATTGTTGTTCGTTTACCGTTTAGTTAAAGTTCAAATTCAAAAAAGACGGGAAAGGCAGAGGCTGGCTTGGACTGAGAAGCATGGGCCCGCAACTCTTTTAATTTTGATTAAAAAGATATTTATTCTCCCTCTTCTTTTACACTTTTTATTTTCTTTACAAAAACAAAACCTTTTATTTTAAATGAAAATGTTAACACAAAATTGTAAATAAAAATAAACAATGATAAATTTTAGACATTTCATTTCTTGTTTTATGTTTTCAAACAAACATATTGAATCAGTTTTCATTTTTTGCCTTTTTTTTGTGACCCGCGGTGTTTGGTTTAATTTGCATACAACTCGACTGATCCTCCGAGTCTTAAAGTTAACGATAGAATATACCTTCGAGTGGTCATCCCTATTAGCAACCGATGTGAATTGAACTTAGAACCTCTTGAATAATATACCAAAAAGTTCTTGTTCAACCATCCAGCCACCCAAGATTCCTAAAATTAACGATTGAGTAAACCTTTCAATAGTCATCCCTATTTGCATTTTCAAATACTATTTTCAGACAAATATGTTGAATTGCGTTTTCATTTTTACATTTCCCGAACATTTTCAATATTCTTAAAAAAAAAAAAAAATTCATAAAGAAATCCTTAAATAATTCATTTAACTACTACAGTAGCTTAGAATATACTTTTAGTTTGTGTAATGCCTAATGTAACAAATCCCATATCAAAAGTGTATTGGAGAGGTCCTATGCTTATAAATGGGGGAATCCCTCCACCTAGACTTGGGGAAGGACCGGTCCCAATAAGGCCTAGGTCGGGGCTTGATTGGGATCGTCCCATTTCGGACCAGTCGCTCATGGTCCTAGGCCCATGAGAAATTTCAGGACCTGGACCGGTCCCTAGGACTGGTCCTAGGCCCATAGGATCAGTCCTATGGGCCTGGAAAATTATTTTTCACCCCCCAATTTTTTTATATTTTGGGGCAAAAAAAAATTATGTTGGGGGGTTTATGGAATTTTTAGGGGCCTGGAAAATTTATTTCCACCCCGAGAGATTAGTAAATTTTTAATTAATTTTAAAAATTAATTAATTAATGGTTAATTATAATTTATAATCATTTATGAATATGAGGATTTAAATTTAAACTTTAAAGAGATAATTTAATTAATTAATTAATTTTAACATAAATGTAATATTCACGCAATCATACATTCACACTTCACAAATAAACAATTAAATAAATTTATTTTTATTAAATTAGTCATCGTCAACAATATTTACATTGTTCAAATCTGTGTTCCTGAAGAGTTCGAGTAGTTCGGGATCTTCAGGGTGTTCCTGTAGTCTTCTCTCTGCATGAGTCTAATCTCGTAAACATGTTATCACTTCAATCATCTCATTGGTTAAAAAGCATATCCTATCTTCAACAATCCAACCACTCATTGAGAATGCTGACTCGAATGCAATTGTAGAAACCGGTACAGATAAAATATCACGTGCCATTTTGGCTACAATGGGGAATCGACTTTGATGTTCTTTCCACCATTGAAGCACATCCATCTCATGTTTCTCCTTCTTCGTCATGTAGGACATGTCCATTTGTAGGTAACGATTCAGCTAATTTGGTCCATGTATGTACGCACTGGAGTTGCTACTTCCGCCGCCATGTTCCATATATGTCCACATGCTTGATTCTTGATAGTTGTCTTCATCAGGGTTCTGTTGATCGTCTCTGTTGGACATTCTAGTGCCATTGTACATGCTTTGATATAAAGGAAAAAAGCTTCCCAATTTTGCTTAAAGTTAATCAAATAATACGTATAATCATGTCATAAATGCTAGCCTGTCTTAGTAACTATACAATTAACTACATGTAATTTAAATCTAAGATCTACACAAGGCCTAATCCATATAAGAATGGAATATCTAGCCAATATTTCTCGTATTTTTTTTCCATCTCTGAAACATTTTCCATTAAAACGTCATTGTATCTATATTTAGCAAAAGTTTTTGAAATTTAAAGTAAAATATATAACTCTAAATTAGTAGTAGGATAATAAAGACCACTTAATGTATTGGTGGATTCATAAAAAACTTTAAGAAATGAATAAAAAAGTTCACAAACCGTCCAATCATCATAGCTGACAACTTCCTGCGGATTCTTTCAGTTGACAAAATCTGTAATTTGTGTTGCGTTTGGCAAAACTTTTTCCAATATCAAGTAGGTGGAGTTCCAACGGATAGACATATCCATACATAATTTCAAAAGTCGAACCGGTGGATCCTCTTGCTTACAATATTTGACGTACTCCTGCCATATTTTGTTGCTACCGTCGACGATGAATTTGATAGCCGCACGCACCCTTTCAATCTTCGAATTTATAGCTTCTAAACCTGCTTTAATAATCAAATTGATGATGTGGCAAACACATATGTGGTGAAAAAATTTGTCTTTACCAAGCGGATCCAATCTCTTTTCAAATAAAGAGATAGTCGCGGTGTTAGCAACTGCATTATCTAACGTTAGCGCTACAACTCTATCAGTTAATACATATTCTTACAAAACTTCAAGTATTGTAAAATAAATAGTGTCAGCATTATGTGTAGTATATAATGGTCTAAAACCTATCAATTTTTGTTGTAAACCCCAACCATGATCTAAGTAATGTATTGTGACAATTAAAAAATCTGTTTTTGATCTACAAGGCCATATATCTGAAGTAAGTGCAATAGATATATTCCTAAAATTTTGAAATTCATTTTTAATTTGAATATTTATTTGGTTATAAAGTTTTAGTATGTCTCTTCTACTTGTACTTTTACTAACAGGGGTATATGCTGGACAACATGCAGTTTTAATCAAGTGAATAAAAAAAAAGATTTTCACATAAAGAAAGGGAAGAGTTCGTAACAACTATGTATTTTGTTATTTCCTCTCGTGCTTGGAGTGCATTGTATTACCATGTTGACAAAGTTGGGGATTGTGGATTAAAATTAAGTTGAGTTTGAATTTGTCTACATAGTCCTGTTGAAGATGAATTGGTTAGCTGCATTATTTGGGGGTGATTCTTCTCCAAATGTTGTCGCATCGTCAAAGTCTCCTTCTCAGCGCTGATAACGGTTCCACAGAAATTACATACTTCGCACGATTCTTCCCCTTCCCCATTTGCCTTTACCTGTTTTGATTTGGTAAAGTGTCGCCATATATCAGACACAACCCTCTTTGACGGTCGAGGGGGTTGGGTCGTGGAGTCTCAACTCGCTTGTGTTTGGCTGCACCTCGTCCCGGCTGAATGTGGTTGTTGTTGTTGAATTGCAGTAGCTGCTTCTAGAAAGAGTGAAAATGGATCAAACCCTTCCATTTCTTTGGTTGATGGAACATATAACTCATTTGACACTTCCATTATGAATTTATGATAAAATAATAAATAAGTAAAATGAAAAAAAATTAAATAATAATATGAATAATAGAAAAAATTGAATAATATAAAATATAAATAAATTATATGAATAAATATAAATTGAATTGAAGAAAATATGAATAAGAATTGGATTGGAGTAGAGAGATTTAGAGAATGAGAGATTGAGAGTTGGCGTGAAAAAAATTGGAAGTGTGAGGGATTATTTATAGTGTAGGATTGGGGGAAAATGAAAAAAAAAAAAAACTTGTGCTGTTTGTTTGTATTTTTTTTATAAAATATCAATTTAACCCTTAATATTTTTGTCAATTTGAAAATTATCATGAGGTTTTTAGATATTTTACAAAGGACTGTTTTAAAATTTTTTAAATAGGTTTGGGCCCAGGCCCGGGCCTTGGAGGAAGGCCCGATCAAGGGACCAGTCCCTCCTCCCATAGGCCTAGTCTGGTTTGGGACTAGGCCCTCCTAAGACCAGGCCTTATAAGGATCGGTCCTAGGACCAGTCCTTTGGGTCGGGTTTTTGGGACTAGTCCCAAATGCCTAGGTCTACCTCTACCTAATAGGTTAGCCTCTTCAATGTAAAACTCTCAGCCCGTGATAAGTGGTATCAGAGTAGACTCGGTCCATTTTTCAATGTCCTACCAAGGACCGATCCATCTTTCGATGTCCTACCAAGCACCCATGTAGGGCCGTTCACGTGTGATTGTGGGTCCACATGAGAGTGAGGTGAATGGGTAGGCAAGGGGGGCCCACCTATAACGAGGCGTCACAAAATTGGGTGGGGGAGAGTGTAACCAATCCCACATCGAAAGCGTATTAGAGAGATCCTAGGCTTATAAATGGGGGAGTCCCTTCACCTAATAGGTTAGCCTCTTGGGTGTGAAACTCCCAACCTGTGACACTTGTGCACATGTGATATCAGAGCCACCATGGTTTGAGTTTCGTCAGAGTTGGAGTGGACAAATAAACGTTAGTATAAGTTTAAGTTTTCTTTGATATTAAATTGACTAAAAATTACTACTTGCATAATCATGGAACATATTAGTTATACTTAGGTTATCCCATGTATAATATGTTTATATTTAACCCTAAGGGGTCGGCCTAGTGATCAAAAAGGTCCGCTCTATTTTTTGAGTTGTTGGGTTTAAACTTTAGGGCTATTTATTACAATAATATTGTGGCTTACTTGATCATTTAAGTTTGTAAGATGTTCAATAGACCTCGATAATTAGTTGAGGTGCGCGCAAGCTGGCCTAGACACCTCGCTTACCAAAAAAAAAAAAATGTTTAGACTTCCATAATCTTGGATCATATAATCATTGAACATTTTAATTGAGTATTACTATACATACAAGCTTTGTATACAATGTTGAGTATATCCAATAATGTGGATCTATTCATTATGCAACATATAATTTATTATTAATTAAAGAATTACATTTTTATTTTCACATATCTATTCATTTTGTATTACATCATTTTATATACATGGTATTATTTGCTTAGTTAGTAGTTAAGGGTGCGTTTGGTTTAGTATTTTGGATAGGATTTTAGGGATAGTATTGTGTTATTGGATAGGGGAGTATTACAAGGTAAATTTTAAAAATTTATGAAAAAGCCCTTAGGTTTACTAATTTAATTAAAGACCCTAACATATAAAATGACAAAAACACCCCCATCACCTGCAGTGCCAGATTCCGGCCACCACCGCCGGAATCTGGCCGAAAAATTTCGTTACGGCACAGATCGGTCGGATCTATGCCGTAACACGTCGTTATGGCCTTTTCCGGCCAGATCCATGTCGGAAAAGGCTAGATCTACGGTCTGTTATGGTCTTCGACGGCCGGAAAAGGCCAAACGACGGCTATCTTTCGCCGTCAGCGACGGCCAAAGATGTGGCCGTCGTTTTCGGTCAACGACGGCCATTTCTTTGGCCGTCGCTGACGGCCAGATCTGGCCTTTTCCGGCCAGATCCGTGGTAGATCTGGAAGGAAAAGGCCACATCGGTGAAATTCCGGCCATTTTTGGTTGGAAGTTAGGCCGTTGTACAGATTTCGGCTATCACGGACGGTGGTCGCCGGAATCTGACAAGTTGGGTTGATAGGGGTGTTTTTGTTAATTTTTAAACTTTTTCAGGGGGTATTTAGTGAAATTAATAACTTTATGGGGGTCTAAAAGTAATAAAAAATAGGGTAATATTTCTGGAATAATGTGCCAAACATTATTTGGAGAATAGGATCCAGAATATGGATAAAAATACTAAGCCAAACATGCAGTAAATTATCCACTGTCTTCAAATCCCGTAGATAATGAATTATTCAACAATATGTATATTGGATTTATACACGCAAAATTAAGGCCGTGTTTGTTTCATTTTTCCCAATCCTATCCTATCTAATCATACCCAAAATACATATTTGTTTTTATATTTTCAAAATCTAATCTTATTCTGTTCAATTCAAAATATTTAGATTTTTTTTACCCCTTAGGTTTGTTAATTTAACTAAACGCTTCCAATAATAAATTTTTATAAATTGATAAAATACACCCACCCACCCACATATTCCTGGCAACCGGCCACCATCGTCGAAAGGTAGCCATAATCTATCGGAATAGCGCACGATCGGCTGGATGTGGCGGTCGTGCGCCAATCTGGCATTTTCCGGCCAGATTAGATCGATGCACGATCGGCCAAATCTAATCAGTCGTGCGCCATTCTAGCTACTTCCAACCACCCTTCGGCAGTGGTGGCCAGTTGTCAGCATTTAATGGGTAGGTGGATGTGTTTTTGTTAATTTTCAATGTTTTATTGTAAAGAGTGTTTAGTTAAATTAACAAATGTAGGAGATTAAAAAATAATCTAAATATTTTTAGAAAATGTTTTAAAAAATTTACCAAACACATTTTCAAATTCAAATCATGTTCTCGTAATAATAATTCAACTCAACTTTTTTAAAAATACTACTCAAAATACTCTACCAACCACAACTTAAGTTTGTTTTAGTATTTTGGATAGTATTTTTGAAAACGTAAGAGTTGAGTGGTAATAATGAGGTAGGATTTGAAAATTAACAAAAAAACCCCCCTAGGTTTGTTAATTTACTAAACATCCCTGTAATAAAAACATTAAAAATTATAAAAACACCCCCACCCACCTATTAAATACCGACAACTGACCACCACTGTCAAAGGGCGGCCAAAGTTGACATATCGGTGCACTGCAGATTAGATCTATGGCTAGATTTGGCCATTGACGGCCATATATGGTTGCGTTTGGTCGTCAACGACGGCCATATCTTGATTATTGTTGACGACTAGCTACGGCTAACAATCAGATCTTTGGTCATAGATTTGATATTTTCTGACCAGATCCACAGTGGATTTAACCAGAAAATACTATATCGGCGCATTACCGGCCAGATCCAGCCTGTAGTGTGCCAATATACCAAATTTCGGTCACCTTCCGGCAATGGTGGCTAGAATCTGACAAATGTGGGGAGATGAGGGTATTTTTGTTAATTTTTAAATTTTTAGGGGGTTGTTTAGTTAAATTAATAAACTTAAGAAGTATAAAAATAATTGAATAAAATATAATAGTATTTTCAGGGAACAAATGTGTATCTTAGAAATAATAGGAATAAGATATGACAAAAATAGGGAAACAAATGCACCCTACCTCCCTAAGATTCTAACTTATTATTTCAAATAAAAGTTGATTTAACAAGTAATATTATTCATGATAGGAATCATCTGAAAATAGTATTTTGAACTTTAATAACAAACCTTATCCTAGTCGTAGATTCTTAATCCAGCTAAACCTCGTGAATCTCAACTCTCAAGTTCTCAACCACACAACAACATGCGACTCCCAGCCAATGATATGATATGCAAGGAGTTCTTTATTAAATTAGGCATTAGTGGTTAACCATCTCATCCTCAACCTTTTCATTAAAACCCATTTCAACTTGAATTTGTGGTTGTGGTAGAGATTTTAATTTAATGTTTTATTTTAAATTTAGCCCAAACTAATTTCGATTTTTTAAAAACAAAAACCACCGGCCATCAGAGGAGTCAGGGCCGAACACGTGGGAGTGAACATCCATTCAAGTCAACACTCACCAGAGTCGTGCTCAATTATGTCTCTACAATAACCCACATTTAAATTAGTCTGTACTCGCGCAAAGCGTCTTGAAAGAAATAACAAGCGAGAGCTTCAAAAGAAAACTTCTCTTTGCCGTCTCCGGGGAGGACGGTATTTTAATGTAAAGCAAAAGAATCTTTTGCTAGATTTCAACACCATCGTTCTCCTTCGGCGCAATTGCAACCAATCCGAACTTTCTGGTAGGTTCGTTACATCTTTTTGAACCTTTCTCGTAATAATTGGGATTGATTTCAAGCAGAAATTGTTTGATTTAACGGATTTCGAGCATTCGGTCCCGCTACCGCGTGGCGTTTATTTTCGGTCAATCTTGAGATGGTTATTGAGGTTTTATTTTGATAGATCAATGGGTATACTTTTATGATTGGAAGGGTTTTGATTAGCAAATCGTTGTGTTTCGGTTTTCTCTCTGTCTGTTGATGTATCTTGCTATTATTGAAGAGAAATATCGGCTTGTGAACGTGCCCAAATTATTCCTGGGTGCTATCAGGCCATTGAATCTTTTGTTTGAAGGCAAGGTCTATTCGTTTTGTATCCCGAGAGATAGATGGGATAAGGAGTTTTTTAAGCTACAAAGTGGATAGTAAATCATATTTTGTCGACATCATAGAGTTTTTGTAGCGGAATTGTTGAAGTAGATTGATTTGTGTTACAACTTTTTGAGATGGGCTCTTCACAAGGATCTACATTGTCAACAAATATTTCTGCCGGATTTGTGGATGGTTCATCTACACGCCGAGGGGTTTCTTATGTTGATAGTTTGCCTGTTTATGTTAAGGAGCTCATTGCTGGGGGCGCTGCAGGAGCATTTGCTAAGACGGCTGTTGCACCTCTGGAAAGGACTAAAATTCTCTTGCAGGTGAAACTCATCCCTTTAGAAAATTTAAGCTTTAATTTCATGCAGTAGTTCTGGGGTTTTTATTTGCACTTTATAGGATTGTGTATGCCCATATGACTGGTTTAGATTGTGTTAGGTTGCATTTCCCTTTGCTGAATTTAGTTTTACATGGTTTGTGTAAGTGTAGTTTCACCTTCTACAGTTTTGTATCAATGGAGGGATCATCTATTAGAGACTTTTGACAGCAGGCAGTTGTTAGTTATGTAAGCCGCTTGGAAATGTGTATTTAATTGGGTATACGGGAGACACGTCTGTTAAAATAGTCCTATATAGTTTATTAAGATGACATTATTTTGGGAAGTCGCTATCAAGTCTTTGTGGAGGGGACATTGCTTATTTGATTGTGGTTTAGCTGTTTGCCAATTCTGTTGTTGCTTACTTTGTTTCTTCATAAGTTATATTTTATAAATTTTGATAGATTTATGATTCCCAAATAGTTCTTAACTATATTTCTTTCAACACAATTGCTTACTGCAGACAAGAACGGAAGGGTTCCAATCTCTTGGGGTGTGTCAATCCTTAAAGAGGTTACTGAAGCAGGAGGGTATTCGTGGATTTTATAAGTAAGATTTATATTTATACATATATGAAGAAAATTTTTATATGTGTGTCTTCCCACAAGAAGGTTGTTGTAAAATATGCTTTATATTTTCTTTCAGAGGAAATGGAGCTAGTGTTCTTCGGATTGTTCCTTATGCAGCCTTGCATTTTATGACGTATGAGCAATATCGTGTTTGGATTGTGAATAACTATTCAGCATTGGGATCAGGGCCTGTTATAGATCTTTTAGCTGGTTCACTGGCTGGAGGAACGGCAGTTTTATGCACATATCCTTTAGATTTGGCTCGTACAAAACTTGCTTATCAGGTGAGTGGTTTGCTTAAGTATTATTGGGGCGTTTACTCTTATTGGAGTGAGTGAGGATCTTGTAGAACATTTTTCAACTGGTAGTTATTTATTTATTTATTATGTTTTACTTTTTGGAATTATGAATCATGATTAATGCTTCAAAAGGCTTTCCTTTTAAGTTGATGAACAGTATTTTCATGAATTTTGAATGATGCTATGTATCATCTTTTGCAAGTTTTTGGTAGAAGCACCTCGCAAAGAAGGGCATCTGATTTTATCATCTTTTCCTGCCTCTTGTTTACATTTCAAGACGATGGGAGCAAATAAAACTTGTTTGAGAGTTGCTTTCCCTTTCTTTGTCTTTTGAAAACAAAAATAATATTTCAAAAATGGTTGGAACTAAAACCTAATTGTAAGCTAATCTGTCCTGAAACAAAAAAATCAAGGACAAAGTATTTTTACCATGACTCCAATTGTGCATCCAATCATTAAACCCAGGCATTTGTTGTACTCTGGTATTCACTTATCCATTTGTTACTGGCTATAATTAGATTTGGTCGAACTTTTAAGCTCACCTAAGCTAAGCCTGAACCAGAAGTTTGCAACAGGGCCCTGGCTGTTCTAACCTATATTGAATCAATCATATTTAACTTGGACACTATGAAGAATTTGTTTTGTACTTTTCTGATTCCCAATAGATTAAAAAAGAAAAAAAAAAGAGGCATCTAGTTTAAAATTATTTGAATTCTAATGCAATTGCGTGCTGAACATCTGATAAGTTGAAAGAAAAACGATGTACAAAGCAGCTTATAATTTTTTCAGTGAAGAAAACAATTGAGGTCCAAGAACTGAAAACTGGCAAATCAGCTGAACACAATCTTTATGGTTTTTGTGTAAAGCAGCATTTCTGATTACTTTCTGTGTCTTGTTGGTCCTGTGATAATCTAGTCTTTTGAAAGAAATGGTGAACATGATTAATATAGTTTTGTTGAAACTGTTTCTTTTATTGATCATATCTTGTGGTTTGTTATTTGATCTGTTTTTTTATCTGAATATGTAGGTTGTAGATACTAGAGGAAGTTTCAGGGGTGGTATAAGAAGTGTATGTGCTCAACCTGCATATGGTGGCATAAAAGATGTACTCACAAGTGTCTACAAGGACGGGGGAATGCGTTCTCTCTATCGAGGCATAGGTGTGTATGGCTTGTTTTTGTTATGCCTTTTACTTCACGGTGATGCATGGTCAATTATGGTGACATATGGTATTAAATGCTTGGATTTTGCATCCAATGGACTTGGTATCTTCTAATTTGAATGTTTGTTGAAGGCTCACTGTTCTTCAAAACATCTGGTTTTCCTTTGTGGATGCTCTTGTTGACTGGGTAACTGAAACTTTCCATGTTTAATCTTTGTGTTTTCTCTTCCTATGTTATACCAGCTAAATTTCCATGGGGGTCTATTTCATGACTTTCATTCATAATTTAAAATATTTTTTCATTTTAATTTTGTTGCTTCATAGAACATACATTCTACATTTGATATTTTTTAAATTCTATTCAGGTCGTAACAATAAAAGTGTTCTTTGTCTGAGCAGGTCCAACCCTAACTGGAATTCTCCCTTATGCTGGTTTGAAGTTCTATGTATATGAGGAACTTAAGAGACATGTTCCTGAAGAGCATCAGAAGTCAATTATGATGCGTCTTTCTTGTGGAGCCCTAGCAGGGCTATTTGGGCAGACCCTCACATACCCGTTAGATGTTGTTAGGAGACAGATGCAGGTATCATATAATTGTTAATAGAGTTAGGTTTTAATTCTTTTCCTTTTGTAGACATAATATATTTTTGTGGGATGTAAATGATTTGATTCCTTTCAGTGAGAAAATTGAGGTTCCTGCCTGAAGACCATGTTACATGTACTCAAGTAAGAAGTTTGGGGGCGGGGGTGCATCTCCTTTTAGTTTTAAATTATTTTTTTACAATGTTGTTTTACAGGTAGAAAATCTGAGACCTTCCATTAAGGGTGATGCCAAATACAGGAACACATGGGAAGGGCTTACCAGCATTGCACGAAATCAAGGGTGGAAACAGTTGTTTGCAGGCCTGAGCATTAATTATATCAAGGTAGTCAGTGGAGATTATTTTGGTTTCTTCTTCATCATGTGATTACTGTTAGGTTTGCTAATGTTTGTTCACTAATAGAGTTTCATGGTTTTTGTGTTAAGATTGTTCCTTCTGTGGCAATTGGTTTCACTGCATATGACATGATGAAAGTATGGCTTCACATACCACCTCGGCAGAAATCGCAATCAGTCTCCAACTCATAATCTTGACGATAGCTATCAGACTTTGTACAAGCACTTTACCTGATTGAAAGTAGCTCAGATTTATACTAATTAAAGATGCCTTTGTATATAGGCACAAATGCATTGCATGTTGAGAAAAGAATTCTGTGATTTTTCATTTTCATGTTTTTGTTTCTATTTTAGATGGAAGATTGTGGTTCACACTGAAAAATAAAAAATGTGCGTGAAAGAAATGAATCAAGATTGCGGTCTTGCCAGTTATGCCACCATCTAGAATTTTATGCTTAGTCGACTTGATGGGCAATTACTAGAGATCATTGGGTCAATTCTAATGGCCATGCCAGAGCTCCAGCGATATGCATGAATTGTGTTTTAACTATCACCAGAGCGAGTGATACTAACTGGTCATGCTATAGCATTAGCTGGGTTGCTGGGATAGGTAGGATAACCCTGAAAACATACATTATTAAGAACCTGAATTCGTCGCTTTTCAATGACTGATTGCAAGAGATAAGGTTTAAGCTCACAACATTTCTTTGTGCCGACTAGTTAGGACCACAGAGGAGACCCGAGCCGAGACCCTGCTGCCGTGGACAGACGGGTGAAATTAATTATTTTTCATCTACCTCTCTCCGTCTCCATAAATTTAACAACTTCAACTACTTTCGTAAGGCTAGTGGACAAGTTGCAAAAACACACTATTAAGACTGTGAGCCTATGCCAATCAGAGAAAACTTTTCATACAAATGGGTCTTTATAAATACAATTATTATTTATTGTTAACCGACTTATAGCAGGATAGCGACTGCTTGTGGCCTTGTGGGGACAAGTGTAGTTGGTCCTGCTCTTATTGCGACCACACACCAACTTAACAAAAGGTCTTTGTTGACTCGTACGTTTCATTATCTTATTGCATGAAAATGAACCGTATCCGTATTCAATAAACAGCATCAAGACAAATTATTTAGTGGGTTTGCACTTAATATTATACATTATACATTGTTATACGATACAAGAAACTACCTAATACTTTCAAATTCATACATATTTGTCATAAAGATAGATTAATTAACCAATTATGTAACATTGCATGGCTCAAACTTGTTTCTTATTCGAGTAAAAATACAACCAAAAGAAAGTAGGCCAAGTCAAAACTTATCTCAGTTGTTGAAGAATGAAGAGTTGAACGCTTCAAAGTCCAAAATTAATACTTGGAAATTTAAGGTAGAGAGAGAGCCCCACTATTCATGTCTTATTTTACCACATTCAAATCATGCTTAGTTTATGGGTGCTTCTGCCATCTTTCTCTTAAACTTCCCTGAAGGTACTCTGCTTCACTGAATCATCACTTTTTTGGACACACCAAGGCACCAACTTTGATTTTTTTATGGTCTTCAGCGTTTACCATATACAGAAATTTTAACTTTGATTATTCAAACACAAACTGCCACCATTATATAAACTAGTGAACTGGCCAAACGTATGTGCTGAGTGGTCGGTCTTGAACTTACTGTTCTTTGAAACTTGAGACTTGAGAGCAGCGGTTTTGGGGCTTCGGCTGTGTATTTTTTTTAGGTGAGGGTTCTTGCTTCTAGTATTTTTCAGTTTCCTCTGAATGATGCATATTGATTTTAGTTTTATCTGGTATTTATGTATCTAAATCCATTGTTCATTGATAGAGTTGTACTCCTTTTTTGGTTAATTATTCTTAATCGGCAATTTTTTCATTTATTGAGATGTCTCCTCATATTTGCTTCATCTCTCTCTCTCTTTTTTTTTCGTCTACTCTTTTTCTTCTATGTAAAAGTAGCCAATTTTTGCCAACAGTTTGGTGTTTGGAAAAATAAAAAAGATAAATTCTGTCAATAGCCTGCTTTGTCATTTTCATTTTTTTTTTTTTTTTCTGGTGGAGTTGTAGTTTCTTTTCTTCTGTCTGCTTGTTTTTATTTCTTACTTTTCTATTTGGAATATGAAGCTGTGCATAGTTGTACCTAAGTGGTTATTTTCTGTTAATTCAAAAGATGAATAAGCATCAAAATATCTATTTATTTGAGAGTAAGATTTTTCTATCTGCTTCCCTTCATATTTAGCTCTTAAAAGTTACTAATTAAATTTTGCTCTACAGTCTAATTCTATTGAGCAGGTCGGTGGTTCTGGTACTGGCCTTGAATTTTGTCAGTCATTAAAGTCAATGGGACTTTCTCTTTCCTTACTCTTATCCACTTGGAATGAAGTCTTGCACAACTTCTTTGGTATCAAAAACACCGTTGGGAAAGTTGTTATTAGGTCCAACAGTTTTGGAACGAAAGGTGCAGAGATGGCCTTGAGTATAAAAAGCTTCAAGGAAGAAGATTCAGAAACCAATAGCAAGTTTGATCAATCTGATAAAAAGAAGATGGAGAGGTCAATAAGCTTCGAAGATTGGGATGCTGAGGAAGCAGAGCTTAAAGCATTTGAATCATCTAAAGAAGAAACTTTTAACCGTGAGACTTTAGGTTCAATCTCATTGAAGGATAAAACTCATGAAGTAGTTCGAATAATAAAACCCACGATATTGCTCCCTGAACCAGTGATATTTTTTTCTCCGAGGCCTGTTAGTGAGCTTGATGCTGCTGCCACTAAGGTTCAAAAAGTCTACAAGAGTTACCGGACAAGAAGAAATCTTGCAGATTGTGCTGTTGTGGTCGAAGAGCTCTGGTTTGTCTCTAGATGATCCAAGTTTCTTGGTGATTCATTGTTTGTTACTTTGTTCTTTCTAATGTTTCTTATATTGATTCACGTGTGGCAGGTGGAAGGCTTTAGATTTTGCAGCTCTGAAGCGAAGCTCAGTATCTTTCTTCAACATTGAGAAAACTGAAACTGCGGTTTCACGCTGGTCGCGGGCTAGAACAAGAGCAGCTAAGGTAATTTAAAGTTGTCACTGCAAATGATTGACTGAAATATGTTAAGTTTGTCTGTTTCTGACATTAAACATATAATTCTTTTCTGTTTGTAGGTTGGGAAAGGTTTGTCCAAAGATGAGAAGGCTCAGAAACTAGCTCTGCAGCACTGGCTTGAAGCTGTAAGTCCACATCCTTCCATCAAAATATCTGTCAATTGTCATGTCCTTTGATTGCATAATTTGCTGTTAGAAACTGTCTCATTCTGTTTTTGAGTTGCCTTAGGAATGATCCATCTGAATGGCTCAATTGGATGCAATAGCTTGAATTGGAAACATTAAAAACTGATGTCTGATTACATTTTGCTTTTATAAATTAGTGAAAAAAAGTTAATTAGGCTTTAGCCTCGACCTGTGAACTTAGCAAATACTCTTGTTAGATCCTGTAATTTTTAGAAGGAAACACTTCGCTTTGATGTTTCAAATCATTCAACTAAATTCTGAATTTTTTGTTTGTACAAATTTCTGTTTTGTTATAATCTAGATACTAACTTCTCACATAAGATTTTATCTGTATTAAGTTTGCTTTAGAATAATATTCTTTACTTTCTATTAACAATCTTAAATTTAGTTTTGGGGGCTGTTACCTGTTGTCTTAGCTGAATCCGAAACATATGGGGAGTCAAATGATTGCCTGGCTTTGTATCTTGAATTAGGTCTGAGGGTCATCATCAATAAGTTCATGTCGCTTAATGTTCCATTTTATTTTGCAGATTGATCCTCGCCATCGTTATGGACACAATTTGCATTTCTACTATGATGTCTGGTCTGATAGCAAAAGTACCCAACCTTTCTTCTACTGGTAAATATGCTCATGCTCAGTGAAACCAATTTCTTTGCCCATAACTGAATATCATCCATCTTTTACCAATCCTCTGAACTTTGATTTTCCTTCTGCACTGAAGGTTGGATATTGGTGATGGTAAAGAACTGAATCTTGAGAGATGCCCAAGGAATGAGCTACAACGCCAATGCATTAAATATCTTGGACCTGTAAGTTTTATCATCATTATATTTCGTACTCCTCTATCCCCACCTAAAGACCCCACATAACTTATTTGTGTATTGACATGGACCCTCTTGCACATTATGCACATCCACCTATTATTTGTACATTAGGCCTCTTTGAAATTTTTTTAAGTTCTGTTAAGATCTTATGTTGCACGTGCAGAAAGAGAGGGAAGCGTATGAAGTGATTGTGGAAAGTGGAAAGCTTGTTCAAAGGCAAACTGGAGTCCTTCTTAATACCACAGAGGGTTCTAAGTGGATTTTTGTACTTAGCACATCAAGAAACTTGTACGTGGGACAGAAGAAAAAAGGTGTTTTTCAGCACTCAAGTTTCCTATCTGGAGGGGCTACAACCGCCGCTGGAAGATTGGTAGCTCATGATGGGGTTCTTGAGGTATATTACCTGTGCCCATATCAGTTAATATCTCCATTCTCCCACATCTCAACTGAAGACAATTTTAAGCTAATTTTTCTTTTGCCTTCTTCAGGCTATATGGCCATATAGTGGTCACTATCTCCCAACTGAAGACAATTTTAAGGAATTTATTAGTTTTCTCGAGGAGCATAATGTTGACTTGACTGGTGTAAAGGTACTTAAATCTTCAAGCTTAAAACATCTCATCATTGGTCGGCATATATGTGGTCATGTTTACAATTATGTACTTGAAATATGCTTTGATTGTTTATAGTAGTCTGGTTGAAGTTTGTTACTGAGCCAACATCATGACCATTTTTCAAATCAATTCTTTTGCAGAGATGTGCAATAGATGATGACTACAGCTCATTTAGAGATTCTTTTGAAGAGTCTAAGCCAAAAGATGCAGAGGCTCTCCCCACCGTAGAATCAACAAACACGGATGCTGTGGATGTTACCAGGCCCATCAGTGATAAATGTAACAAACAAGATAGTATTGGCACCAATGCAGCCGATGTGGAAGCACCAGTGTATGACTTGTCCAGGCGTTTGTCATGCAAGTGGAGTAGTGGAGTTGGACCTCGCATTGGATGTGTGAGGGACTACCCACAAAATATGCAATCACAGGCACTGGAGCAAGTCAATCTATCTCCTCGAGTCACGCCTGGAAGCTCAAGGAACTTTGCTCCAATTCCTTCACCCCGACCTAGCCCAAAATATCGTGTCTCACCAAGGCTTGCATACATGGGACTCCCTAGCCCAAGGTTCTCCATTAATAATGCCAATTAGACTTCCTGCTTTTACAAAACTGGCGAATGACCATGTTTCTTGAGGTTTGTGGACTGCTGAGCAGCCGAACCTAATATATTCAAGACTTTGGGCAAGTTGAGCACTTCTCGTGCTAACTGAGTTTTGTATTATGAGGGTGCTCAGTCAAATAGGTTATTACATTTTTTTGTTCTTTGAATTGTATTTACCATTAACTAAATTGGGGCCTCTTTCTCAATTTCTTGCTGTAAGCTGTGAATATGAAGTTGCATTTGTAATTTTTGGAAAGATCCTGATATTCAAAGAGAGTTCCTCCTGTTTTCCCCTTTTGACTAACTGATGAGTGGTGTGGATTTGAAGAGTTGTTATTCAAGTTCAGCAAAAGAAAACAAAAAAAAAAAAAGGGCACGTGATACAAACATAAACCATGTTAAACTTTCATTGAACAGTGTGTTTGACTATTGACTCCAAATATTAAGAAAAGGCTATAGAGCACTCTCCTTTTGGGCTACTCCATGGCTTAGATTGAAGTCAACCTGGTCCAGGCAGGCCCAAATCCAAATTAGATCTAATCTCTTTGTAGTCTCAGCTAGGCATGTTAATGTCAGTTTTTTAAGGCATAGCTAAAATGAAGATGGAATTTGAAATGTAGGATAGAATATAATAATTTACCTACCACTACCAATAAGATAACTGGCTGCTGTTTGTATTGAACCTCGTTGTCAACGCCCCTTCCAAGTAAATTAAAAGTAACTCCTTTAAATGCTTGCTTTCATCTTTTGTACTTCTCAAAGCTCATTCATTGTTTTCAACTGCATGCTCTACACTGACTTGAGAAGAGAGAATCCAAGGACCTTATTCGTTGGTTGTTAAAGAATCTTTTTACTTCATATAGTGCATATTCAAGTTATTGCATTGGAAGGGTAAACCCTATTAAATCAACACTTAGCTTATCTCATATGGTCGAGTCCAGCTTCTCATTTGATTTTCCGATTCATCTACACTCAACAAATCACTTCTAGGGTTTTGATTTATGAACATTATTGAGCCATAACCATCTGAAAACCATATCCTAAAAAGAATTCAATTTTATACACGTTTTGCACATGTTAGGCCGAATTAGTTTTTTCTTCTTTTGATCATTAAGGTGTCTGGATCAGTTTGAGGTATTTCAATTAATCATTTAAGACCTGAAATTGTTAGTTGGATAAAAATTTTAATATTCACTCCTATTAGAGCTTAAGGGACTCGAACAACCGAATTCATTAGAAAACTCCTATTATTATTTTACCCACAGAGTTTATAATAATACATTTTAATTCAAAAAATTGTTTTTTTCCCATTTCATACAATTTGAAACTCAAACCAATAAAAGCTTTGGACCGTCTGATTGTGTATATGGGGACCCACAATGACGTGTCCCAATCCAAATGGTCCCGGAAATGAAAAGGGCACAGGTATTAAATTACTGAAAAACACCAGATATCTTCAGCGCGATGAGTCGGGACCTGGGAGATCCTTTGTCGGCATGCATGTTGTCTTTTTGTAACTTTTGATGGTAACTGACCAAAGGGGTCGTGCCTTTTCATGGTTTTTCGCAAAGTTAGTGGGCCTGTTTTCGTAAATTGCAGCAATTTCAGGGTCAGATTGTCACAGTCATTCCAAGGAATCGAGCGGGACGAGACGGCTCTATTTCTGTTTGTTGTTTGTGTTTGAATTTCAAATATCGAACCGTTCAATATTTGGACTATGTGACCCACTTTACTGGCATATCCAAAACTATCCCATTTCTCTGTCTCTCTGCTTTCACCATTTTTTTTTTCTTTTGATAATCATACTTGGTTTTGACATTTTGAGTATTACTTATTTGTCTTTTAACTCTCTCTTTTCCAGATAAGACTTTTTCTTTTTTGGTTTCAAATCGTTCATTTTTAACAAGTTCTGTTCTTTCAATCTTTCTTCTTCTTCTTCTTTAACACCTTTGGAGTTCTATTTCTTCATTCTGTCTCTTTTGATTTCTCTTTTATATTGTTTTCATCGTTCCAGAGTAAAACCCCGCGTTTTCATTTTAAATAGAGTTTGTTCTTTGGGCTCTTTGTTCTGAAAGCAACACTGTTACTTGCTTGTTCATCTCAAGCAAATGGGTGCTTCAGGAGGGAAATGGGTTAAAGCTCTTATAGGACTTAAGAAGCCCGAAAAAGATGACAATGTAGGCTACACCCTTGAGAAATCTTTTGCTTTTTCCATGCGTTTTGTTGGTTGGTTACTAAATAATCTTTTTTTATACATATATATATATACAGGAAAAGGTAGGCAACAAGAGCAAGAAATGGAAGCTGTGGAGGAGCTCTTCAGGGGATATGGGATCTTCATGGAAGGGTTTCAAAGGGAACCATAGAGCAGCATCAGAGTGCTCAGATTCTTCAACAAGAACTAATTCTTTCACGGCTGCGATGGCTGCAGTGCTTCGAGCTCCTCCTAAAGATTTCAGGGTTGTCCGGCAAGAATGGGCCGCCATCAGGATCCAAACTGCTTTTCGTGGCTTCCTGGTAACTGCTTTTTCTGATTCTTCATTTTTTTCTTTTCTTTTCTTTTCTTTTAGCGGATAAAAGATATGATACTAATTCCAAGTTGGATTTTGCCTATTTTAGAGACCATAGCTTCAGATGGATCCCCTCAACTAAGAGAAGTTCATATTTGTATAGGGATAACATGTATTTCAAAACAAGAACGTTAATATCATCTAGTAACAAAAAATAAATAAATCTTGAATCTTTGTAGGAAAGGAGCGTTAAACATTAAAAAAAAAAAAAAAAAGAACAAAAAATTAATTTTATTTTGAATGTAAATATCACTCCTTTCTAACTAAATTGGTTGATGAATTTCTGTAATGGAATATGCAGTAACGAAACTACTTTAGCTTATGCTCCACAGTTGCGGAGTTATTTGTTGCTGTTGTTCATTATTACTATACTGGGGTGTTTGATTGGGTGTAACGTGGGATTACTGAGATTATCTCATCTTATATTACTTGATTATTATGTTTGGTTGTCAAATAATATAAGATTTCGATAATCTTCAAATACTAATAGTAATTATTGTTGTTAATATTAAAAGTAATCAGATTACCTCCATTTTCTTAGATATTGTTATAATTCTCTCCCTTATTAATAAAATTTTAAGATAATAATGTCCTTATTTTTAAATTTATTTACATGAATGTTGTTTTTACTATTTCACCCTAATTAATTAACTTTTTGAATAAAATTACTCTTAAATTTAAAACAAATTACAGCTCACCCAAGCTACCATCCCCGTCTACCTGCCGCCATGGCTGGTCACCGTTGCCGCTAGAAAGGTGTACAAAAGGCCGAAAATGACCATATGGCGCATGGAGGTCATTTCCTGCCTTCCGTGCACAGTTAGGTTACCGGCAATCGATAGTAGCAGGGTTATGAGGGTGCTTTATTGATTTTCTAAACTTTTATTATGGGGTTATTTTTGTTAAGTTTTTAAATACAGAGAGTTGTATAATCTAAATAATAATCAATATTAAAAAATAATATAATAATAATATTTAATTAGAGGATAATACAGTAATTTAAATATTAGCATATTGTTTCATTTGTGAGGACTGTCTAATAAATGTAGGCGAGACGGGCATTGAGAGCTTTGAAAGGAGTAGTAAGGCTGCAAGCTCTGGTTCGTGGTCGACAAGTGAGGAAGCAGGCAGCTGTGACACTGAGGTGCATGCAGGCTCTTGTTCGAGTTCAGGCCCGAGTTAGAGCGCGTCGCGTAAGAATGTCCGTTGAGGGCCAAGCAGTGCAGGATGTGCTTAATAAAATACGCACCAAGGATGATATTTTGAAAGAAGCTGAGGTATCATAAACCTTCACTTGTGTTCCGAAACCAATTTATTTGTCATTAGTAGATGCATCTCATTCATTTACGTATTCATAAATTCGTAAAGTTTTCAACATTTGGTTCTGTAAATTTTCAGAAAGGATGGTGCGATAGTAAGGGGACTCTGCAAGATATTAAGGCAAAGCTTCAAATGAGGCAGGAAGGTGCTTTCAAGAGAGAAAGAGCAATAGCATATTCTCTTGCTCAAAAGGTATTAAGATAAACAAGATTTTTGAGTTTTATGCGTTATTCATTTTCACCTCCATTAAGGGATCTAAAATTTTTGGTTTTTCAGCAATGGAGTTCAAACCCCAATTCAAATAGTCGAACAAATGGTTCCATTTCATCTATCAAGAGTCAAGATTTTGACAAGAACAGCTGGGGATGGAGTTGGCTGGAACGTTGGATGGCCGCTCGGCCATGGGAGAGCCGATTGATGGAACAATCACATGCTGACCCTTCAGAAACTACTCCACCCTCAAAGAGTTGTGCAGATTATATTCTAGGTTCACGGTCTAAATCTTCAGAACCGTGCTCGGTAAAGATTAAAAAGAACAATGTTACCACTAGGATTTCTGCTAAACCTCCCCATATTGGGCAAGTTACACGTTCTTCTTCTAGCCCAAGTTCTGAGTTTCGATATGATGAGAGTTCAGCTTCATCATCAATATGCACTTCTACAACTCCAGTGTCAGGGAACACCTTTTTGCCCTCGGATAGAACAGAGGAGAGTGGTAATAGCCGGCCAAACTATATGAACCTTACTGAGTCAACAAAGGCGAAGCAGAGAATCAATTATTTATCTCACAGAATTCGGCAATCCATGGATGAGTTTCAGTTCCTGAAGAAATCAGCCGTTTTCTCTAATGGGGATTCGAAAAGCAGTGCAGGTTCTGATCCTTCAATCAATATGTCTAAGCCATTTTACCTGCCATCCCGATTGGATAAGAGCTCAATCAAAGTATGAAACAAAGGGAGCAGGGGTTTGTATGATTAGATGGATTAGTTTATGCTTTTTGAAGAAAGTTCAACAGCTTGTTGGGCACTGTTATTCAGAACGTGTATTTATATCAGTTGTCCTATGACTAAGCGGTACTTAGTCCTGGGGTAAGATTTGAGGCGTTTTCTTTTGTAAAATATGTTGTTCATGGTGTGGGAATTCATTCTTTGCTTTTCTTCTGCATGATAGTATGGTTGACAATTGACATATATTAAATCCATCAAATCTGGGAATTCTAACATTATCACTAGATATTAAAATAGTACTAAAATTAAGGTGATTCAACCAAGTTCTTGNACCGTCTAATAAATGTAGGCGAGACGGGCATTGAGAGCTTTGAAAGGAGTAGTAAGGCTGCAAGCTCTGGTTCGTGGTCGACAAGTGAGGAAGCAGGCAGCTGTGACACTGAGGTGCATGCAGGCTCTTGTTCGAGTTCAGGCCCGAGTTAGAGCGCGTCGCGTAAGAATGTCCGTTGAGGGCCAAGCAGTGCAGGATGTGCTTAATAAAATACGCACCAAGGATGATATTTTGAAAGAAGCTGAGGTATCATAAACCTTCACTTGTGTTCCGAATTCAATTTATTTGTCATTAGTAGATGCATCTCATTCATTTACGTATTCATAAATTCGGAAAGTTTTCAACATTTGGTTCTGTAAATTTTCAGAAAGGATGGTGCGATAGTAAGGGGACTCTGCAAGATATTAAGGCAAAGCTTCAAATGAGGCAGGAAGGTGCTTTCAAGAGAGAAAGAGCAATAGCATATTCTCTTGCTCAAAAGGTATTAAGATAAACAAGATTTTTGAGTTTTATGCGTAATTCATTTTCACCTCCATTAAGGGATCTAAAATTTTTGGTTTTTCAGCAATGGAGTTCAAACCCCAATTCAAATAGTCGAACAAATGGTTCCATTTCATCTATCAAGAATCAAGATTTTGACAAGAACAGCTGGGGATGGAGTTGGCTGGAACGTTGGATGGCCGCTCGGCCATGGGAGAGCCGATTGATGGAACAATCACATGCTGACCCTTCAGAAACTACTCCACCCTCAAAGAGTTGTGCAGATTATATTCTAGGTTCACGGTCTAAATCTTCAGAACCGTGCTCGGTAAAGATTAAAAAGAACAATGTTACCACAAGGATTTCTGCTAAACCTCCCCATATTGGGCAAGTTACACGTTCTTCTTCTAGCCCAAGTTCTGAGTTTCGATATGATGAGAGTTCAGCTTCATCATCAATATGCACTTCTACAACTCCAGTGTCAGGGAACACCTTTTTGCCCTCGGATAGAACAGAGGAGAGTGGTAATAGCCGGCCAAACTATATGAACCTTACTGAGTCAACAAAGGCGAAGCAGAGAATCAATTATTTATCTCACAGAATTCGGCAATCCATGGATGAGTTTCAGTTCCTGAAGAAATCAGCCGTTTTCTCTAATGGGGATTCGAAAAGCAGTGCAGGTTCTGATCCTTCAATCAATATGTCTAAGCCATTTTACCTGCCATCCCGATTGGATAAGAGCTCAATCAAAGTATGAAACAAAGGGAGCAGGGGTTTGTATGATTAGATGGATTAGTTTATGCTTTTTGAAGAAAGTTCAACAGCTTGTTGGGCACTGTTATTCAGAACCTGTATTTATATCAGTTGTCCTATGACTAAGCTGTACTTAGTCCTGGGGTAAGATTTGAGGCGATTTCTTTTGTAAAATATGTTGTTCATGGTGTGGGAATTCATTCTTTGCTTTTCTTCTGCATGATAGTATGGTTGACAATTGACATATATTAAATCCATCAAATCTGGGAATTCTAACATTATCACTAGATATTAAAATAGTACTAAAATTAAGGTGATTCAACCAAGTTCTTGGAACGAAGATTATTTTCAACAGTTTATTGATATACAAAGAGCTCTATCAAGAAAATATAGCATACACCATTTTTCATGTTCTCTTTATGACCCTAAGCTTTACCCCGTACTTGAAGTTGAGGACTATCCCATATTCAAGTTCTACTGGTGTTTCCATGTTGGGAGAATGTCGAAATAAATATTGCCTATATAAATGTATCAATGAGAGCTTTAATTCTTGCAAGGAAAATTTCTGACCAATGCATGCTCGGGGCCCAATTCCAAAGGGTATGAGAGCGTAAGGATGCCTTTGTTTCTCTTCTTCGCAGTTTGGATCAAACCTCTCTGGCTTGAACTCGTCTGGCTCTGGAAAGTTCTTTGGGTCTTTTGCTAGAACTCCGAGTGCTAACCAGACCCACGTACCCTGCTCATCCAAAAAACAAATCTAAAATGGTCAACACACACATTAACTTAGAAAGTAGCTGCTTTATATTTTAGTTTTACTGACAATACCTTTGGGAGATGGTAACCTCCTATCTCTACTTCTTTTGCTGTTTCTCTTGCAACTAATGGGGATACTAAGTAAAACCTCATAGCTTCCTTTATCACCTGTAATCTAACCATTAAACAATTTAATGAGATTTCCATTATTTGGTATGTCATATCTTATCAGTTTCATTGCAGATCATATAAGTGCGGTAAAACATCAACTGTAAACTAAAGCTTGCCTGATCAAGATAGGGAAATTTGTGTTGAAGATCAGGAGCGGTTGGCATCTGATCTCTTGGACCGAACCCATCAATCTCCGCAAGCAGCTTCTTCTCAACTTCTGGATGTCCAGCAACTAGATAGACAATTGAAGACAATGTAAAAGCTGTTGTTGCTGACCCAGCCAGTAGATGCTCGTAAGTAACTGCACTGATGTAATCAGGTGTAAAAACCTTCTTTGAAACAGTCTCTGATTCTCTTGCCTTCAATATGAGTGATAGCAAGTCCTTTGAATCTTGGTTGCTCTTTTTCATTCTCTTTGATACAATTTCATCAAGCCGGCCACTCAAATTCTTATTAGTCCTGTCAACTTTCCAGTCCATAGTGCCAGGTATTCTCTTCAGGATCTGCCTAAATGGCTCTTGAAGTATAGGAACAAGTAGACCTATTATGATGGATAAAGAGCCTGACAAATCCATCTTAAGTTGAGTTGTAGAGTAGATGTGCTGATTGATAAATTCTGAAACTTCGCTTACATTGTCTTGGTTATCAGGACTGTTCTTTGAATCACTGACAGATTGTGGTTTTGAGAGGCCAAAGTTGACGCCAAAAGCAGCTTGCCCTATTACATCTGTGGCCAATTGGAGGGAAAGATTGGAGAAAGTGATGTCTTCCTCTTTAAAGGAGTCTAGATTTTGTGTTGCAGATTCAATGAATGATTGCATGGTGGGCACTAGACTAGCCAGGTGAGATGGCTGATACACTGACAATATGGTGTTTCGCATGGTCGACCATATCGCATCCCTGCAAAGTACTCAAATTGCATGAAGCTTTTAGATCATGTGCATTCAAGTGCCTCCAATACTGCAACTAACATTACTAATAGAGAATAAGCACCTGGTGAAGAAAAGACCCTTCTGATGAAGAGGGGAAGCTGAAATGGGGGAAGGAATGCTTCTGTTGGGAATGTCTTTGAATTTCTTTATTCCAACTTCTCTACAGAGCTCTGGGTCAGCTATTATTATCAGTGGTTGTCTACCCATATGAAACCTGCTTCACCAAATTTGTAAACCCAGTTATATACACCTATACAAATTTTCTAGATTTGCAAAAAGATCTTTTTAGATATATGGAGGTTTGAATTCTTCTTGACAAGGAGATAACGTTACCATCCCTTTTTACTTCTAAAAATCTCTCAAAATACAAATCTTCATATCTCTATTTCTAATTAGTCAGGTCTGTCTTTAGAGAGTCTTAAAACTCATCAAATCCTTTATACATGAATTATTTTGCTTTTTCAATAAAAAATTATTAGAGTGGCAATAGTAAAATCTGATGGGGGAATGTTCATGAATTCATAGGCACAGATCAAACATAATTGTCAGAGGTATTGAAAGGACTAGTTGTCATAATTTGTATGACTTTAGCATCAGGCAAATATGTAGAAGGCAGCCAATTGGGCAAATTAACATAAGGTGGAACAAATATGGCCAGCCATTGAACATAATGTCAAAGGTCAATTTGGTATAATGCAAGCAATATCATCACAGTTATAGCTGGGTAAAAATATACTATATTTTTCCCCTTTCCAAATCTCTGCGCTTCTATTCTTATTTTGAAACTGAAGAATGGTGAGAATAAAATCCGACAGATAGCATGGCCTTCGTCACAGTTGCTTGAGGGAGAAAAGTATGCCAATTTCCTTGTTTTTCTATAAGTCTTTTTTAGAAGGGACACAGGAAACACTAACCAACAAAATGTTTGCAACAGAAAAAAGCACAGAAAGTCATATTAATAATCGTCTAAAGTTGCTGAAATTGAACAGCGATTTACAGGAAAATATTGTCAAGAAAGATTACTGTCTTACAATTCATCTGAAAAACATTGGCAAATACTAAAAGACATAAAATTTCATGAGTTTCGTGTTCTTAAAGTAAAGGGGAGGAGCGTTTTCTCGCTAAAAAACAAGAGGACAGACCTCTGAAACAGTAACAACGAGTCTACGACAATATCATAATCTAGTATAATTGTGGCTTCGTGTCGTGACACAGGCAAAGAATTTATATGAAGAAGAAAAACTGCAACTGACCTGAAAATAGGGCCATATCTTTTGGCAAGAATTGAAAATACATCAGGACCGTACTTTGCCATCAAGGGAATGTGTCCTACCAATGGGATTGGTGGGGGGCCGGGAACCTTCCTGACTCCCCAGTAAGGCCCATACAGGTAGCACAGAACTCCAGTTAGTATCGCCAGCAGTGTGAAGATTGCAGATGCAAAGGGATTACTTGTAAAAAACCACTCCATATTCATCAAGCTTTGAAGAAAATCACCTACTGAATCTATGTTTTTATGAGTATGAGAAACTTTTGTTGGACTTGGACAGAGCAGTGGGTATTTGAATGAGCATCTTTTTGAGCATTTGGTTGGTGTCGTTTTATGAATGATTACATTTGAGAATCAGACACCCAATTGTGAAAAATAAAATATGCTATTAGAGCAGTGGTGGTGTTATATTCTAGAATGATGTCGTTTCATGCTTTTAAGACTTTTAGGCCATGAAGGCACCATTATCAAGCTCATACAAAACATTCCATCAAACTCTCTCCACCGTTAATGAAATGAAATGACTCCAATACCTAATTCAGTTTGGTTTCTTTCCATAAATTGGATTATCTGTGATAATTGAAAGAAAGCCAGTCGTATTTTCAAAACTAGTTGTCTGATCTTGATTTTTTTTTTTTTTTTTCTTATTTCTAATCTCATTGTAGTTACATTTCCATCTGTAAGAAGTAAATTTCTTTATTATTTTTCATTTTATGAGATTAAATACAGTCGACTTTAGAAAAGGAACCTTTACTTGGTAAAAGATCTAACAAAACGTTAAAAAGGAGAGAATATCCTTCTTCAGGATAATCGTGGAGTTGCTTGAAGATGTTTTCTTTAAAATTGGAGGAGCATATTTAGCTACTCACCGACGAAACTAGAGCTTTAGTTGAAAAGGTGAGATAAGTAACACGAAGAGAGGATGGACTTGCGAAAGCTGGATGATGATAATTATCATGTTGAAAATATATCATATTTTGCTTCTGAACTCAAGTTAAGAATTTAATGGAATATTTTTTATTTTAGAGATATTTATTATAGTATTTAATTTAATGTTTTGTTTTTGGTTAAAACTTGAAATTAAGATGTAATTTTTTTGTCAAACAAAGAAACGTTTTGGTAGAAGGAATTGTGCCGCGGCACACGATGAAAAAGCTGTCACTAAAAGTCCAGAATGCTTGATGCCTAGACACTGTGCTGAGGCATGGTTTAGAATTTAAGTTTTAGATAAAATAATGAAATGAAGTTATTATCTGCTAACTATAATTTTATTTATCCCTTTAAAACCAATAAGGGAGAATATTAGGTTTATGTTTTAATTGATTTCAATAAATAAAACTTCTCTCCTTCTACACAAGTCTACCTCTCTACTTCGTTAAGGTCCCACATTGAAAACAAAAAATAAGGGGTAGAGACCCCCTTTGATAAATCGATTTTTCAAAGACAATTCTATCTAAACCCCAAAAGACCCACTGCCCCAACCCAATTCCTCTGAAAATTGATTTTATTGGCTTCTAATTTCCAACATTTTTAAAAGAAGGGAGAATGAAATTACTAAACAAACTAGATAGAGTGAAAGATAAATAGCACCATCTTTTGCTTATTTATTCCAAACAATTTTATCCACATTCTAGAGCTATTGATAAAAATAAATAGGATTGAAAAAACAATTCCCTTCTATCGGAATGTTTGATCATGTACAATAATAGACATGACTATGGGCCAATCTTCCCCGATTAAACCGAAGGCAGTTTCGGTTTAGAGAAACAAGATCCTCTGTCACAATGAAATTCTCCCCGATATACTACACATCTATGAATAACTACCAACAAACTGGGCACTAGCTTGGTAAATATTTGAACACACAATAAAACCTTAACTGAGCTAAAACTGGTGAGGTAGAAGATACATCTATACAAACTGCAACACCTCTTCCAAAAAATAAAGGGTCGAAGCACCGCCTTACAAATCTACGTCCCGTGATCGTAAGTCTGCCTGCAAAATGCAGCAAAGGGAAATACAGAATATCAAATTGGTGGAAAAGAGCAACACTAGAGAAAATGAATTAGTGAAACTAAAAAACTCAGATAGATTATCTTTCAAGGATACAGAAAAACAGGAACATATGTTGGCCTCTTTGCAACTTCCACCACTTCCTTCTGTATGAGAAACCATGTATACCTATCAGTCGTAAACAACAAATTTTACGAGCAACAAAATCAACCAAACAAGATTCATTAAACATACCATAAGGAGAAACAGGAATGGGGTTGCAGAGGCCAATTCAGCCTAAAACAATAACACAAACCGATTCTCTAACAGCAACGTATTTGGTCATGGTTTTGACCTGAGATAACCCATCTGATCCACAAGGTCTTGCAAGCCCTCGCCCCAATCAATAGGATCTGCAACCAAATCCTCTACTTGCACATCAGCTTCTGATTGATCACCCACCACAACTTCTTCCGCATTGCCGGCAAGCAGATCATCGGTAAACAAATCCTCCCAAGTTGTCTCATGCATAGCACCCAAATTGCCACTACTTGCGGGTATTGAACTGGGAATCGCGTTATTTAAATCACTGCTGGATTCATTGTCCAAGGCAGAAGAGAAAAATGTTTCTATATCGGTCTCCACGGTTGCCAATTCATCTTGATCTTGGATTTCATAATCCAAAACTTGACCACTTTCCTCTCCTGCAGGTGTCATAGTGATTGCTTCTTCTGGTATGTTCTCCATGCCGGAGCTGGCGGTTAGCCTCCGCTTCCTCCCAATTTCAACACCTCGCAATTCCCGTCTGTGTGCATTCCTTTGTGCAAATTGCTTGACAAATGCTGGATTGTTGAGTACTTTGGCAAGGAATGTCATCATTTGTTGTTGTTTCCTTTCAGTAGTTTCTAACCTATCCTCCATTGACATAATTTGGTCTCTTGATTGCTGTTGCTGTTGCCTTAGCTTCACAATTTCGGACATTAACAAACTTCTGTCTCTCTTTAGTCTTTCCAGCTCACCATCCAATCCGTATTGTCCCAATTCAACACAAGGTCCTCCTCCTTCTTGTTGTGTATTCTGTGAAATATGTCTTCTTCTTTTAATTGTCTTCAATAGATGCTTCTGTCCTCCCAAAAATCCTTCATTGGCGAATTCCCATCTATCGGGGTCAATCTTTCTAAAACCCTGAATCACACAGCAATATTGAACGGATTAGAAAATTTCTAAAATTGACCAAATCAACTAGAACCTCCACACAGGTTCATTTAATATAAGTACAACTAAATTAGTGCTGACCTAGTACAAATTATTCAGAAAAGAGAGTGACAGAAGAATATTGAACGCTATTCATAAACCCAGAAATCATAGGACCACATACTAACAGAATAACAAGAGATGATAACTAAACCCTTCCTGCTATTGTAAAATAAAGGAAACCAGAATCACTACAATCCAAGCCATAGATTGATTTAAAACTTTAGAATATAAAAATAACAAATTACAGTGAAATATTCAAAATTCTAAGATACCATAAAACAGAAAGGCAAATTACAAGACTTAAAAACCACCGGAAGGACATTTAGCTGTTAACTTTAATCAATGGAATCTAAATAACCATCGGCCATGATGAATTTCACCATCTAATATCTTATATCATATACATAATGAATTCACAGACCGAAAAACTAAAATTATAAAAAAGAAAATACATTTTTCAGTTGGAAAACTTACATATGTGTTGAGCTGGCGAATGAAGCTAGAAAAATTATTGTGCTTGAAGTACTTGGGAAGCAGAGTAATAGAAAACTTGTGAGAGTCCCAAACAACGAAGCTGTTGCGAGCTCTACTCCACGAAACAATGGAGTCAGTTAATGGGTCCTCCACCATTTCAAAGGTTTTTGTCAGAAATGGAGGCGGACCCGCATCGTGTAACCCCTCCATCGGTCGTGGTGAAAAGCTTGAAGATGATGAAGAAGAAGACGGAGCAGCTGATGGAGCTACACATGTCACTGTCTCCTTCTCCTCTTCCTTCACTATCACTGCCTCCATAGCTATAGCTTAACCGAGTTGCGTGAAACGATGACGAGTCAGGTGTTAAACTTAGGCGGGTTCAACTTAAAATTCTGTTGAAATGAGGAGAGAGAGTGTGAGATTATAAGGGAGGGGGAAGAACTGAAGAAGTTTCTAGAGAAGCAAAAGTCCAACCGAGTGAAGTGTCAGGTTCTTTTCAATTGGGAAGAAGCTTCTGCCATGTGTCCTCAGTGGGGTCAGCAAATCCAGCTTTCAAAGTTCTCGAAGGTTCCCGATGCTTCGAGGTCTATAAAAGAGTAAAGGAGACGGTGGAGAAACAGGAGTGGTAGCGCTAATCTGGGCCGTTGATTGTGAATCTAGAAGTTAAGCCACGATGGAGATCTCTTGACCGTAAAGTTGATTTGATGGTTGGTGCTGCCAAAGTTTATCCTGATATGGTAATATTGAACTTTTGTAAAATAAGTGTATCTTAGGGAGTACATGAATATCCATACCAAGATATTTGCTAAGTAAAATATGGGTTGAGCTAGACTGGACTAATAGAACAAGTTTGAGGCCCAATATATAAATGCAACTAAGCCCATGTTTACCCAATCGATTCATATGTCAATGGACCGTTTGATTGTGACAGAAATGGGTTCGTAGAGGTTCTTATATTTTTCAGGTTTTAGGAAATAGCCCAACACTACTGAGCCATAAAACCGAACTGTAGCTGAATCAACCGAAGCTAGCAAAAAAAAAAAAAAAAATTGAATGCAGATTCAGTTTTGCATTTGAATTTCTTCAATTTTGTTTTATATTTCCAAATGGATTGCACATCAAAATTGAAGAAAAGCAAAAGTGATTTAAAGTTATGAAGATGAATAAAAGAAAAAGTGATGATTTTCAAAGAAGAAATGAAGAATAGAAGATTTGAAGATGAAGAATGAAGATTTTGGGGGAAAACCGGTGGAAGAGTGAGAAAATGGGTTAGGGCTCGATGGTATGAAGATTTTGGGGGAAAATCGGGTTTAGGAATATAAAAGAGAGGGGAGGGGGTATGTTTGACCCTATTTTTGGGAAAAACTAGTTGGATCGACAGGTTGCTACAATATTCCGGTCCAACTGCAGGTGATTCTGAGTGAAATGACCTCCACAATTTTTAGGCTCTCCCGGCCCAGCTCACTGGCTAGATCTCCATCGAACCGGGCAGATTGGACCGGGTTTTAAAACCTTGACTTAAGTTGCAATAGTCAATACAAAGATACAATGGGTAATGATTTGTTTCTCATGCAAAAGTGTCTACATATAGCCGCAACCTTTTGATAACGTATGATAACACAAACATTGAAATCATGTTATATACTGATTTTATGAAAATATTTAACATGATCAGTGGTTTTAGCATGTGAAATAATTGTTTAAAATAATCCTTAATCAAATTAGTGTAACAGATTAGAAATTAATAAAGTTTAGCAAAAGATTTGACATGAGAATAATAAATAGGAAAGTGAGGAATGACAGATAGAAATAGAATAAACAGAAAAGATTAGATGAGAATTGAGATGCACATGATCATACCAAACTCCTTCATTACCTGACATAAGAAACTTCCACTTGAAGAGAATGACCGCCACTCATTTTTTTAATTCATTCCTTCCTCTTCATTTACTAAAACTGAATCTCACTCTTCCCTTAATTAATTAATTAATCACCTTAATTAATTAATTAATCACCGTGTATTTGATGCCGCTAAGAGTGTTTTAATCGTCATTGAGATATTAGAAACCAAGAGAGAATTATTGATGGAAGTAGGTTAGGCTTAGCCCTATATTTTTGTAACGTAGCCCTAGTCCACCAGGGTCTGGGTGACGGCTGACCTTTTTTTGGCCAAGATTGTCCACTCTCTTTCTCTAATTTATCATATTATAATATTCCCTCTAATTCGATAAAACATAAAATATCGAGGAAAGCTAAGAAAACGTGTGGAGTTGTATTGCATATTTTATTTATTCTAACAATCTTACTTAATTGTTATATTATAGCATAATGCAAATTTGTTGAACTGTGTTTGTGCCGTGTTTATACTAACAAGATAATTACGTAAATTTCTTGATAAAATCTATACAATGATTTATAATAAATTAGTATTTTAATACTAGATTAATACGAAGATAATAAACAAACACAAAGAGCAAGAAATTTATAAAGTTATTCGGATACAAGACGCAAATCCTATATCGTCAATTGTTATTTTATTACATTTCTTATTTGTTTTTCATATACAAACGAGTTTAGCTCTTAGTATATATTGGACAGTTTTTAATGACAGGAAAAAAGGGATCCAAAACCTCTTTATATTAAGGTGAGAGATTAATTTATATACTAATATATTAATGAACTTACAAACGAAGTAATCCTCATATAAAGTGATATATGATCGGATTAACAATACAACCTTGAAACTTATTAATAAAATAATTATTGCTAAACTTATAAATAAAATAACCCTCTCATAGAATAAGTGACACGTAATCTAGATGACAGTATAATCTTAGAGTACGTGACGTTAATTAGTATGCTTAGACTATATAACGTGTATTGTTGTCATATCTCTAAGGTTACACGAATTACGGGATAAACGAACTACTTATCATTCATTTGATTTTAATGCATATACTATAGTCTAACTTAAACTTACAAATAACATCAACTTGTTTATCTATAAAAGTATAAATCCACTTTAATAAACATTTTCTTAGATGCAATAAATGACATTAAAAATTTTCGAAAACAAAAAATGATACGCGTTCAATTATTATGGAAGACATTAAAAGCAGGCACCTCTGTCCATATCATTTCTTCTACCTAACCCTAGCTATTTGTCTCATTTTGGATGGTTTAAATGATACCCGACATAATTATTTTTCATTGTCTCATCATATCTCCCCCACAGACGCCACCATCAAACCTCACAAATCACCCCACAGCCACGTGTACGGTCAACAAGCAATCATATTATGATGACTGCGGACATTACGTTGATACGGGTTTAAGAAAGGAAATCCCCTTCTTTCGAAACGGAGGAACTGGGTTATTAATCTCAGTTATGACTTGTGAGCCGACAAAGATTCAGATCATGACATCAATGGGCCCCTCTTGTGACCTATGCTTGTCGTAAAATATCGCGTAACCCATGTGTCAGCTTCAGTTAGTCAACGAGATTACAAGTAAAGAGTCCAAAAATTTAAATAATTGAAAGCCAGCGGCGCCGGCAGGTTCAACCATAAACACAAGGGGCTCATCTATCGTGCACCCATAGAGTCATGCACATTAGGGAGGATCCGTCAAGTGAAATATCAACATATATCTATTCGGATGCGGGTACGGGTTCCTGACATAAGCTGTACACTTATTATTTCTGATCACTGCTTCTGGAAGCTAAGGTCATGCGGTGGCTCACGTGGGGGCTGCTCCTTAACGAATCGTGTAAGAAGGGCAATCAAAACCAGTACTGTTATACGCTCGTATGGGCCGCGTGGGGTTTAAGAGTTATGATCAAAATTCGAATGGAACGAAAGTCGTCATTAAAAAAGCTGTGAACACTCCATAATACAGCAAAATTATTACTTTAAATTAATTAAAGACTCAGTTATATGAAAATGTGTTAGATCGGTTAGGATAAGTAGGTGATTAATATGTTTGGTTGAAAAGATAAATTGGTAGGTATATTATATAGATTACTAAATTACTATTTTTTTTTAATATTAATATAATAGTATCTTTCATTATTATTTTTTGAATAATTTCTTTTAATCTTCAATTTTTCAGATTTAACAAAAACATCTTAACAACAAAAAAATGTTTTAAACTTAATAAAAACACCCTTACCCACCCCAAGCCGCTGTCGGCCATAAATTTATAATCTATGGTCAGAAAAGGCCTCACCGGCCCAGGGCCAATCAAACACCATTATAGCAACCTTTGGTGGCGGTCCACGATGGCTGGCGGTGGTGGCTAGTTTTAGGTACAATGACATTTCTGTAAATAATGACAATAATAAGGCAATGTCATCCGAAAAATTTAAAAAGTGAGGACAAAAGGGTCTGTATGAGTGAATTGAATTGGGTGTTTTATAAATTTTAACAAATATAAGGCTAATTTGGACTAATTGGTCAACTGTTTAAGGGCAATATGGGAAACAAAATTAGATTACCTTAGGTAAGTTTTAATAACAACCCCCTCCCCCCCTCGGTATTAATATTCCCAACAACTTACCCCCCAAATGCCACTGTTTGTCATAAAAGATTTTGGGAATAATTTTTTACAAACCAACCAAACATCATCATCAGTTCAATTTAAAAAATGTTACTCTAGTTATGTAATATTAATCTCATCCAAACGGGCCCTTTAAATTAATTAAAGACTCACTTATCTGAAGATACATTAAATTAATGACGATTTCTATTAAATTACAGGGTGTTTTTAACACTAATTACTTGCATATGATAATAGATGCATGAGTAATGTTAAGTCTACAATCTAATTTTACAATTTTCTCTCACAATCCTTAACGTAGCAGTCCGTAATTGATTAACTCACAAATGGGTCCTGTTTGGCTTGCTATGGGTCTCGTTTGCCTATTTGTGAGCTAACCACAAACCAATTACAAGTTACCACATGAGGGGTTGTGAGAAAAGGTTATAAGCTGCCTATTTGCGAACTAACTACAAACCAATTACGAGTTGTCACGTGAGAGGTTATGAGAAAAGATTGTGAGTTATCTATTTGCGAACTAACCACAAACCCATTTCGAGTTGCCATGGGGGGGGGGGGGGGGGGGGGGGGGGGGGGGTTGTTATATTATAGCATAATGCAATTGTTGAACTGTGTTTTGTGCCGTGTTTATAACTACAAGATAATTACGTAAATTTCTTGATAAAATCTAACAATGATTTATAATAAATTAGTATTTTAATACTAGATTAATACGAAGATAATAAACAACACAAAGAGCAAGAATTATTATAAGTTATTCGATACAGACGCAAATCCTATATCGTCAATTGTTATTTTATTACATTTCTTATTTGTTTTTCATATACAAACGAGTTTAGCTCTTGAATATGCAGTTTTTAATGACAGGAAAA